CATCAAAGGTTAAATTTTCCTGCCAAAAAATCACTTGAGCTTGGAGGGAAACGTCTCTATGTCTAGAAGTAGGAATTAACTTTCTTGTTTGGTTGAATTTAGTGGTTTAGCAACAAATAATCCATCTGGATTAAAACTAAAAGCGCCCTTACAAGTGCGAATTTATCAAACGCAATTTGTATTTCAGTCATGGAATTTTTACTTCTTACAAATTCAGAAGAAAAAAAATGCTTGCCATTAAAAAGTTTGATCCTCCCTTTTCCTCCTCTTTCGCGAGACTCCTCTCCAGCCGGGTCCTCCTTTCTATTTGCGCCTGAATTATTAGCGCATTTCTTTTTCTTCCTTTCCGGGGATTAGCTTGGTCGTCGCGGGAGCTACAGCTGTCGAGTACATCCACTCTTCTAATCCCGCACGAACAGCGAGTCTCTGTTTATCTCGCAATTTATGTGCACAGATAACTCAGATGGCCACGCGAAATTGGTCCACTCGCGAGACTAATCTCGATGATAAATTCCGACTGCTTGGCTCCACTGCTTTTCTGCTAAGGTTTTTGCTTTTTAGATGAAACTGGCTCTGTATTAGGGTGGCGCACATCAAAATTCATGGAGCAAATATGTAAATATCAATAACATTGATGGCAAAAACGGAAAACATGTCCAAAAAAATTCGCAAGTATTCATTCGTATTTTACGGCAAGCATTAAAATATTGATTTTCAGTAGGAAGTTTGTGCTATTTTGCCATGTACATATATTATATAATAATACTTTTAAAAATATAACAAAAATTTATGCATTTGTTAAATAATATATTAAATTAATTTAATCTTTTCTTTTGTTATTTTTGTGGAAAGAAATAATAAATACGAATTTTTTTAATTTCTTTGAATAAATTGCATTGTGTTTTTTTTAATCATTGATTGATATTAAATTATATTTTTCAATTTGATTAATTTAATCAATAAAACAAATAAATAATGCCGTGTTCCATAGTGTTAATGATTAAAACTACCTTCAAAATGATGACTGTTGCACCAACTTTCTTTTTCCAACAATTATGTTACGTGTAGGAATTATAATTGGAACTATTTAATTAAAATTAGCTCATTACAGGATGGATAACAGCAGTATCAAGAGTAATTAAATCGATTTGACTGCCTTTAGTAAATAAATTGATAAGTTTTTTGTGTAAATTGTTATTGAACCATTATTAAAGGGACTTAAAAAGTGAACACAATTCACTTTCCTTGAAGAATTGCAGTAAATTAGTCTAAAGATCAGAAAGTAATCTGCTCAAGGCAATAAATTCACGTCCTATCTTTTTGAAAAATCGAACCTTTCTAGCGCCTTTCTCAATTTAATATTCGCAATCAATATTTGATTCCAATTCCGGCTTCTGGCCCTCGGTGTTAATAATGCAGAGTCGCCGGACGTTCCTCTCTGCGAGCTGCGTATGCGGACGACAGGCGTGTTCTCAACCCTTTTCAACGACCGTTTGACGTGCGCATCCCTAAACTACTTTCCCTTCCCAGCAAGCTTCTAATTTCGCGCAGTTTTGGCGCCACGAGGAGTCGTTAGCTTCGACCGCAGCCAATTGTAGCCAATTAATGATAAAATGGCACTCTGACCAGCTCTGACACAGCCAGAGAACCTTCGGGCGCTTGTTTGTGCCAAAGTTTGCAGAAGGGTTAATATGGAAAGCTGCACTCCTCAGTACTTTCAGAATCACCAAATTTAATTTAACATGCGGACATGATTAGTATTCCTTAAGCTCAAGACCAATTTTTAATAATTAAAAGTAAATGATTTTTTATTTTAATTAATTCGATTTTCCTTCCAACATAAGAATCAATTCAATATTTTTGAGACTTGACTTATAAAACTATTTTCTTCATCATTTTGAGCTTTTTAATTCATTAATAAAGTATGTGGTTTTTAGTTGTACAAATTTTAATTAAATATTTTTAGAACAAAATAAATTGGATTTTATTTATAAATGAATATTCTTCTTTGAAACTCTGTGCCGTGTAAATTTTAGAACAAAACAAAATTTGAATTAGCTTTTATCGGAGATACCACTTGCCAACTAATACTTAAAACGAACACTCACGACTAAGGAAATTTGAATTTTCGTCTTTCCCTTTCTTCTTTCTCAAATGGCATTCCCTGGAGTGAAACGGAACTCGTAAATCATCAAAGAGATGTTGATGTGCCGAGAGTGGAAATAAATTAAATGCATGATGGCGGTGATTTAGGCAAAGATATTACCAGGATATGCAAATATTTACGAGCCAAATGAATCTCATCTCTTGAGAGAATTCATTCTCCGGCCGACAAGATAAAATAATAAATTCTCGCGACGAGAACAAATCACCAGAGAGAAATAAATAATACTGTAAATTTTAATTACGCATAGTGCGCGAGAAAGGTCTGCAGTAACTTTTGTCGGCGGTGAACAGCAATAATTGCTCTCATTTATAACAGAACAATAGGGGTATTTTCCGTCTTTGTCGCCGGCGCACGTGTTTACATGAAAGGGAACATTCAGAGACACGCACACAAAGTGGCGGTTTCGTTTACGTGTCGCTAATTTCGCGACGCCAATTTCACCACCGACGTGGGCAATTTTGTAATTTTTGCGTTGTCTTGGTGATAAAATATAAAAAGAAGGGAAAAATAATAGCCCGTCGTAAACTCTTGGGAGAAGTTTTACTTTCGGTGTGAGAGAGAGGAATGCTTAATTTATACAAGCAGCTCGTTTTTTTTTGTCCCCGCGCCGGAAAATGGGGCCATTATCAAAACAAAACACATCATCATTCGCACGCAGCTCACAAAAAAGAGAGGAAAGTCATTTGCAGGGACGCTACGTGCGGCAAATTTTACGAGATGTGCGCTAAAAATGCGAGAGAAAGAGGATCATCGTCGTAAACTCTCTGTCAACTGCACACAATGGAGGAATTCGCCGCATTTTGGGTGGCTTGCAGCAAACTAAAACAAGTCCTCACGCTAAAAAAATATTTAAAAAAAAAACGCGGAAAAGGTCGGGAAGTTTTTAATTGCGATGGGACTTTCCGAGTTTGTTTTGTCTGAGTAAAAAAAGAAGGGTTCGTCGGAGTTTGTCAATTACTAAAGAGTGTCTCATTTGAGGTTGTATTTATTTGCTCAACCTTCCTCTTGATGTTTTTAACGCAAATAAACAAAGCTTTGATTAACTCGATTCTAAGAATTTGTTTGATAAAACAAATATATCAGACGAAGAAGGAAATTTTAAATTATTCCCCAAATGATTCAGATGTTTTTTTTTAAATATTTGCTTGCTTTAAATCAGTTATTCAGGCTTTACAGCAAAATGTTTGAAGCCTTACAACATTTAATATTAAATTCTTTACTAAATTACAAATCGTCGGCTACGCGGCCAAATGGCCGATCTGGTAATTACCCCTGTGGGGAAAATGGCTAGTGGCCACTTTCCCCGTTGGGGAAAATGGCAGATGAGCATTTCCGGACAAATTTTTTTTATTGTTCCAATGCATTCAGTGTAAAAATCTGCATCAGAAATAACCATAAAAGTATCAACTTTCTCGGTAGATGTCTCACTATCGCGAGTTCATGGAGCAAAAGTAAGGCAGTGCCACGCCCCCTTACAGGCAAGCAGGCAGCATTCCCGCTTGCTGAATAATGCCAAAATTGTTTTAAATGCAATAAATGTTAAAAATAATGAAAATATCGAAAATGTAAAAAATAAAAAAATAAAATTGTAATAAATTTAATAAAATACCTAACATTAAGTAAGAAGTAAAATATCAGAATAAGCTGTAGTTTCGTCAATATTATATTCCAAAGTGACAGGCTTTTTCATGCATTTTGCGTGATAATGCCAATAATTCTTTAAAATAGATATAATTTTAAAATTAAATAAATAGTAAAATATAGATTTTTTTATTAAAATATTTGACATGCAACCAGAAGCTTTATGTTGTATCCGAGCTAGATTTTACTTTACTAATTATTGCAATTTATAGTAAATATCAGTAAAACTATTCATGAGATTATAACTAGAAGTGACGCCGGGTCATGTGAAATAAAATAAATGCTTTTAATGCCAAAATTGTTTACTATTGTGCAAATAAAAGAATAAAATTTAAATTAATTTAAATCAAATAAAATAATAAAAATTTTATAAAAAAAGGTGAATTAAAATAAAATTATATTATAAAATATTATTTTTAAGTTAAATTGAACAAAGAAAAGCAAGAAATAATCGCATAAGTGGTTTAATTTCGATTATATTGCACGTTTTACTCTTTCAGTGTGGAGTTACTTCCCTTTAAATTTCTTACAACAGTTGTATATTAAGGTTTAAAAGAAAATTAAGTCTACCAAATTATCTGCAATAACATGCTGAACTTTGGTTCAAATTTTGAAATCTGAACATTGAAAATTGGAGCAGATAATCAGTTTTTTGCTTCTCCTGTAAAATTTAAAAAAAGGCTCATCTGCCATTTTCCCCAACGGGGAAAGTGGCCACTAGCCATTTTCCCCACAGGGGTAATTACCAGATCGGCCATTTGGCCGCGTAGCCGACGAAATCAAATTTTCATAAAACACGTTTACTTAAAAACATATGACATTCATCACGTTCAATATCATTCCTGAACGGTTTTCAACAAATTTCATTCTGGCTACATTAAAAAAATTTGTTTGCATAAATGCATTCATTTATAATTTTTTATTATTTTTTATTTACAGAAATTGAAATGAAATCCGAGGCAGGTGTACCATGCAATCAAGATTTTAGTACTGAAAATATACATTCGCAAATTTTATTTTGTGAAGAATCATCATTTTTTATCAATTTATTTATCTATGTTCATCTAATTTGCAGAAATTTTAGTTAAACTAGAACGATTGTCAATGCAGGCATAATTTTGTAATAAAAACATCACTTTTTAAACTCATTTGAGTCCAATTTAAATACAAATTAAAATTTGCTTGTACTCACATGACGACTTTCTACTCCATTTCCGGATAATCCATTGGTATTGCGGTTCGCAACCTCGGCAAATGTTCGGATCGGGAAATTGCACTCCCGGAAAGATGCAGCGCCTGGGTGAGTATGCAACGCGCACGACCGCTCCACCAGCGAATTCGCGTCAAACTGAAGCGGCCGCTGGGTGGTGGTGGTTGCCGAGGCAGCGTGCACACCCCGCTGCGGGCACGCGCACTCGCCACCCTCGTGTTAACCACCGACAATGCTCGACCTCTATTAATAAAGAGCAAAGAGGCTTGCGCAATTTACTTTTTATCCTCACTCGCCGAAGCCCTTACAAAATGAACTTACTTTTGCAACCACAAATATTGATGAACTCGAAAGCTTTTTGAGCAAAAGTCTTCATTTCTGGAAAAATGCTCATCTAATTAATGTTACCAGACTTGATTATTTCGATTTATTTCTCTAGAGAAATAATTGACTGTATTATAAAGTCATAATTTAGTTGGTTCTTTAGGTTCTATTTGTCGATGTAGTTAATTTTCATCACGAGAATTTTGTAGTCACTTGTTATCTAATAAATTTTTATTTCTTGGTTTTTCGCTCTTTTTCTGGAAAATCAAGATTTATTTAATTTTAATTAAAATCATACAGAAGATACAATTCCATTTAACATTTGTACATTTCTGAAAATCACTAGTCATATGATAGGATTAAATAAAATTAAATGTTACTTTTAGTGGCAGCAAAATAATATAAAATTTTTACTCTAAAATATATTCACCTCCGAGTTTTAAAAAGAGCAATTTGTATATTAAATTTCTTAAATAATTAAGGCCGTTTCAACAAGATATTGTAGGTTTGTATGTTATTATCAAATTTAGCGGGTATGAGGGATTGAAATATATTAATAATTTAGCCAAATTTCAAAGAAATTAAATATTTTATACAGCTTTTTCATCACACACAAAACAACTGCTTAAAACTTTGTTATTAGTTTAAAATAGCCTTGCTGAGGTTAATTTAATATATTGAGCAACAACTTTGTAATTAGTTGCTTAGTAATTTATTAAAAATTTAGATTATTAATGAATTTGTTCAATTATTAATTCTTATTATCGATTAATTTAATAATGTGTCATTCAATCAATGCTTAGCAAATCAAAAACAGGAATATAAGAGCCCAGGTCAACGATTTTACTCATAGTAAGTAATAGAATTATGGTTGCGGTCAATAAATTTATAAATTTTAAAGTAATAATATTTTATGAGCTGCTATTTTTGGTCACGGCCCAGTAATATTATGGTATTAAAAATAAAGGGTTATAAAGAAATTTAAAATTCAGTTTAATATATTAATTATCTTAAATCTGTAAAAAAAAAATAAATAAAAATATCTTTTGTCGATGAAATAATTTTATGTAGAAAAATTTTAAAAAAAAATAGTATAATTTAAAAGAATATTTTGTTCTTGCTGCACACAACCCACACAATTTAGCATAAGACGAAATGGAAAGGTGCTTCCAACAAAGGCGGTGTCGCCCTCTGTGTTGGTGCTCACGAACCGTTTCAGGACACCCAAAAGCACCGCTCGTTTACCGCGAGCCACCGCGTGCGCCTTTGATTATGATGTTGGGATCGCGTGTGGCTTTTGGTTATACTAAAATTGACCTTGACGCGCCGCGGTGCTATGATGTAAGTTTTTCACTCATTATCAGTCGCTCTTCTCACCGGGCCGGAGCATAATCTTATCAAAATTTTCAAAACGTGGGTGCAAATCATAGAAACTGATGAGTTTTCTGAAAACGTTGAACTAATTTCATGGTTTGGAGCATTTTGGATAAGGGTAAGGCTGAAATGATTTTCTTTTAATTATCGTGAACATTTTATATAAATTATTTTTTTTAAACTTCATTCATAGCAATTGTACATTCAAATGTTCAAAAATTTATTTATTTTGTAACGAAAATAAAGAATCTATCATTTAATATACTATTTTGAGAATTGAAATTTCCGGAAATTTCTAATTAAAGTTGAAATTTTGAATTTCCAAAACATTTGGTTTCATCAATTTTAATTATCTCTTTTCTGAATAATATAAAATTTTCATTATAAATTAGGAAGATTTATTGAAAATTTTCGCAATCTCAGTCTTTTGTTTTAGTTTTCAGTTTCAAAGCAATTTAAGTGGATTTTTTTTTAACAGCACAATGACCGGCAAAAGTTTTTTGCTCTTTTTGCTGCCGGCTGCGGTTCTGCTGGGCGGCCAGGGCGACGCCGCTCGCATCCTCGGCTTTTTCCCAGTGCCCGGCAAGAGCCACATGATCGTCTTCTCCGCCCTGACGAGGGCACTGGCCGAGCGGGGTCACGAGCTGGTCGTGGTCAGCACCTTTCCTCTCAAAGACCCGCCGCCCAACTACACAGACGTCAACCTCTGGGACACTTTGAAACACATTTACGAGGAAATGACCAACGAGAATCTGTATGAGTTTGCAAACATGCCCAACATTGTTGTTCCATTTTTCTACTGGATGGAAGGCGTGAATGTCATTGATTTGGTTTTGCACGACCCGAACGTCACTGAAGTGATTAACGATAAGAAGGGGTTCGATTTGATCCTCGCCGAAGATTTCATGTCGGACGCCACATTTGGACTCTCACACCATTTCAAGGTATGCTTAGTACATTATTATATTATATCGATTTTTATGAAGGCATGCGTGGTCAAAAAAATCAATATAAAATGAATTTATGTGGGGAAACTTGATATATAACATTGGTGGTAGACGAATAAATTCAATATAGAGACGAAACGTCAAAAATAATGTTTTAACAATTTTTATTTTTAATAAATTAAAAGAAAACATGATAGTTTTATTTAATCGTACTTTTGAATTAAACAAATACAATTATCATTTTCTTTTAATTAACAAGATTAACAAAAAGTAAAAATTCAAAATTTATTTATTTAGTTAAAGATGGAAGTTACATTATAATAAACTAGGCATGGGAAATAACAAAGACAATTAAACGCTTTTTCAGCCTCTTTTCTTTGTAAAATGAAGTAGAAACTAGAATGTCTGTTAAAGTCCTTTTATAATTTAAAATTTAGATTTTAAATTACCAATCCTTCCCTATTGACAAAACATTCTAAACTATGTTGTGATGTTACACCTCTTTTGCTTTAAATCAGCTAATTCAGAGAAAAAAGTTCACTGGAAACTAGATATTTTATTTATTAACTACTAAAATTTTCATTCTTTGCTAATTATTTTTTCAAATTTGTTTTATTTACAATAGGCCCCTCTAGTTTTGATCTCTTCAATGGGCGGTTTCCACATGTCCAACTATGCAGTGGGCAACGAGGCGCCGGCATCCTACGTTCCAAACGCAATGCTGACCTACGGCTCGAAAATGACCTTCTGCGAGCGCCTAGTCAACACGTTATTCCAGTGGTACTGGGACATCGGAAGCGAATTCTACTACTTCCCGATGGCCGAAAGATTGAAAAACGAAATCTTCCCCGGCGCTCCGTCGATCCACAAACTGCGCAGAAGCGCCAGTTTGGTTCTGCTCAACAACCACTTTTCCCTCAACTACCCGCGACCTTTGGTGCCCAACCTGATCGAGGTCGGCGGAATGCACGTCAAACCCCCGAGCAAACCTCTGCCGAAGGATATCCAGGAATGGCTGGACGGCGCCAAAGACGGAGCGATTTATTTCTCCATGGGGTCCAATTTGAAGGGGACTTTGTTCCCCGAGGAGCAGAGAAAGGCCTTAGTGCAAGCGTTTGCTGATCTGCCGCAGAGGATTTTGTGGAAATGGGAAACCGATTCAATCCCCGACCAGCCGAAAAACGTCAAAGTCGCAACGTGGATGCCGCAACAAGAAATATTGGGTAGATTAAATCATTTTATTTGATAAAGCTGCAAAATGGGTTTATTTTTTATAATTGGTTGGAAAATTTATTCTTTTATTATAAGAAATAATTAAAACTTTTGGATTTAAGTTCATCATCTCCTTCAAATATCAGTGCCGGTAATAAATTTAATTTTTTCTTTTTTCATTAAAAATTAATTTCATATTATTAATTTTATTAAATCATACTTTTTAAATTTTATTAGCTTCTTTTTCTAGAACAGTTTCAAACCAATTTTAGCCATTTAAGTCACCTAATTTGTAAAAAAAGAGACAGTTTAAATTGTTTTTGCATTATTAGGGAAATTGTGGAATTTAATCGTTTATTTTATTTTGCAGCACATCCAAATGTAAAACTGTTCATAACGCACGGCGGTCTTCTCGGTGCTCAAGAGGCAATGTACCACGGCATCCCTCTGATCGGAATTCCAGTTTTCGGCGATCAGCATTTGAATGTAAAAAGAGCTGAACAAAGCGGATACGGACTGAAACTCGATTTGAATGACATCAATAAAAGAAACGTTTTGTTTGCGATCCACCAAGCACTGCACGATAATAAGTAATTAAATTTATTATTAAAATCAACAAAATTTTACTTATTTTGATTAGGATTTCCGTCGAGGCCAAACGGAGATCAAAAGTTTTCCACGACCAGCCGGAAACTCCTCTGGAACGGGCGATTTTCTGGGTCGAGTACGTCCTGCGGCACAAAGGAGCGCCGCACCTAAGATCGGCATCTCTTGACCTGCACTGGACGCAGGTTGCGTTGCTCGACGTTTACGCCGTTATCATTCTATTCATTTTCATCTCACTTTTCATTCCTTACTTTTTAGTCAAAAAGATTTGCTGCAAAAGCAAAGCTAACAATTCTGTCCAAAGTAAGAAGAAAAAGCAATAAAATTAACAGTATTGTGTCTTTTTAATTAATATTTGTCTTTTCATAAACTTAAAAAAAAGTGAGTGAGAAAATAATTAGTTTTGACCACAGCACCAGATATTAAACTACAGCGTTTCTATGAAAATTTTACAATAATATTATGTCAATCCAGTGGCAATTTAAATTAGGAAAGCAATTAAAAATTAAACCAAAAAGAAATGGAGGTGCAATTAAAACCGCGTTGATTAAAATTGACGTTCCTTCCTGCGGTGTGTTTCATCAGAAATCGAATTTCACTTTTTACTACAGAAAAAGCTCATACATGATGGGGCTGACGGTAGCTGGCCGCATTGCTTTTCTTATAATATGCTTTTCTATATAATATAGCGGTGTTGTGGACAGACCTTGTGCGGTATGCCAAGAAAATAAATGCTAACGCAAAAAAAGCGGTGTAATAAAATATAAAATTATTTGCATAAATGTTAACACACTGATTTGAAAAAAAAAATGAGAGGTTTAGCGAAAGGTCAAATTATTTAAAATTTTACGCCTCTTTAGTTTAATATTTATTTGAAAAAAAAAAAATTAAAAATTGTCAAGTGGCAAAAAAATCCATTTGCTCAGATAATATGTATAAAATTAGAACTGTTTAAAAATGCGTAATACCCCACTTTTGACACCAATTATAGTAATTATCAATCTGGCGCTAATTTTCTAAAAATAAATTATTAATGATTATAATCCTGTTGGTATATAAAAAACTGTCGTAAAAATAAACGCGTGGCGGCCCATCTGATTTATAACTTTATTGCCTCAATGGTTGACTACAGAGATATGGAAACCTTTCCTGGACGCATTTAAATTAAATTTGTGTTAGCACAGGAGAGCGTAAATTACTTCCCAAGTGGCTCCTCTTGCATCACTTATCCCCAGAAATAGGTGGTAAAAGTGAAGCGTCATTATTTGCCTAACAAGCTTAGTTATTCAGGTGATGCAGGAAAGAAATTGAAGACACTTGATTATTTATTTACGTTAGAGAGATCAATTTGCGTATGAATATTTAAAAATTACTTTTACTGACAAAAATTGTGACAATATAAAGATAATTTTCTAGTTACGCAAAGGAAAAGGTCATGCGTATATTATTTAATTTCCAAATAATTTTCAAAATAATCATAGCTAAACAATCTGAATGTGCCAACTTCCACCATTTAGGCGTTTTATTAGGTAATAATATATAATCACAGCGCTCTGTCAGTTTGACTCAAAATCAAATAATTAATCATCTGACCCTAAAGCGTGCGTTTTGTCTCCTCCCGAGAATGCATTATTGACGCTTTCACTCTTGGCCGGGGCAAATCATTTTGCCATTCTTCGCGACGGCATTAATAGATTCACATGTCCGCTGCTCGAGCAAATCAAGGAGCTGCACTAAATCCATCCGACGCATAAACAAAGGTAAGAATTCATCTTTTGTGTCATTCCCGATCTGTCTCACGATCTTAATTAGACCATTAAATGATATTTTTCATCCTTTTGATCTCAATGTGATGAACTTTAAGTTCACTACAAATAATATATTTAATAAATTATAAATTTAGTAGAAGCGATCAACAGGAAAAGAGACCTGATTAATTTTGAAATCCAGGGAAATAAATTAGTAACTTATTTATTAATTATATAAATTTTATATAATTTTATTTAAAGAAATATCTAAAAATTTTGTGTTTAGTAAAATTAAACTTATTGCGCAAGAAATTTTACTTCCAACTTTTTTTAACAAAATACAATTTAATCAGTAATTGTGACTCTATTTAGACTGGAAAGGGACAAAATAAATCCGGGTTTCTATGAAAATAATTATGTCTAAATTGATCATACTTTTGAGACTCGAATATTAATTTTGTCACTTAAAATAACATAGTGGAGAGTAGAAACCACTTCAAACTAAAGAGCACTAATTAAGAAATGAACGTATGGAGTTCAAATTAGGTGTCCCTTCAAGTTTGACACTTTGTAATTATTGTTTTTCATATAAGAGTTTGCAAAATTTCAAACATACAAAACAGATTAATCTTAATTTTATCAAAAAATTTTCTTCTTTAGATTTTTATTTTTTTTTATTTTAGCATTTTAATTAATCATTGCGACATTAATAAGTAGTAAAATTAAACCTGAGGTAGTTTTTACACAAGTCAAAAACTTTCAAAATTGTGTTTGCAAAAAATAATCAGCGCCAACAGACACTTCTTTCACTCTTTAATGTGTTGTAATAAATTAGACACTTGGAATCAATCATAGAATAAAAGGTGTCCAGTTAATTATTCGAAAATATTTTGCCACACGCCCTATAATTAATCACAAAAATAATAGCCCTTACAGAAAATTAATCCACATATATATTCGGAGTGCTGCTTGCGTCAGACTCAATAATAAATTAGGCAAATCACTCTTGTATCTTGCAGTTTTTTTTTCTGATAAAGCCACACAAAAAAGTCTTTTTTAATATGTTGATCATTTTTTGTAAAACCATTTCTCGTAAACAAAATTTTCTTTGGATTATTTTCATGCAGATTTGTCAATTTTCAGCAATTATGAGCTATGGATGTTGAAATTAATAAAAGCAATTAAAAAATTTCAAGATACCGTACCTTTCATCAAAAATTTATATTGCATATCGACTAGACAGTAAAAACACGTAATTTTCATTAGGAATTTTAACCTAGTTCCTCTGTTGGCATCCAATTAAAATTGTCTCGCCACATTATCAGAATATCATAAATAAATAATTACTCCTGGTTGATTGCCTCTTCCTCTATTCTCAAAATTTCTCTTTCATTTCATAATGACTTCCGAATTTTCCCGTCTAAATTACACTGAAGTAGGAATATCATAGAAATAATTGAATTAAATTATAATGTTGGTCTCAATTCTGTATATTTCAAAAACATTTGCTTACAATTTCTAAATTTTATATTTAATTTTTTTACTTTTTGTATAGCAGTAAAAATGAGTGGTCAAACATGTTGGCCTCTCATCCTCCTAGTTGTGATTCTGCTGCCGGGTCAAGACAATGCCGCTCGCATCCTCGGATTTTTCCCCGTGCCCAGCCGCAGCCACATGATCGTGTTCTCCGCCCTGACGAGGGCACTGGCCGAGCGGGGTCACGAACTGGTCGTGGTCAACAATTACCCATTGAAAGATCCGCCTGCAAACTACACGGACGTCGACCTGTGGGACACCCTGAAGGGAATTTACGACGACACGGTGAACGAGCACACGTACGCCCTGTCGAATCTGCCCACGATCACCCTCCCCATGCTCTACTGGATTGAAGGGGTGCATTTCATGGACTTGGTGTTGCACGACCCCAAAGTGAACCAAGTGATAAACGACACGAGAGGTTTTGATTTGGTCATTGTTGAGGATTTCCTCACAGACTCCTCATTTGCTCTTGCGCATCATTTCCAGGTAAATATTGATTTTTTTTGTTATAATTATATTCCAAACAACAACTTATTTTGAGGCTGCAATTTTTGAAGAGAGAATTATTCAATTAAATTAAAAATGAATGAATTACAAAATTAAAATTAGGATTGGATATTTGATTTTTAATGTAAATTTTTTTTTAATTGCCAATTTTTGTGATATTTTCCCTTTTTTTATTTATGCTTAACTCTTTCACTAAATTTGATAATTAAAATATTATTTGCCAAACCCTATAAAATTTAAAACACCAAAAGATCTAAAACGTTTTTAAGCATTTTAGCTAATTTTAGATACTTCATAACTTCATAGAATAAATTTTTTCATCAAAGTGAATTTGATATAATTCATATAATTTTTATTTTCTAAATTGACGATGTTTTTTTTTTATTTAATTAATTATTTCTTGCTTTAATTTGCATTCAGGCTCCGCTCGTCTTGATATCCTCGATGGGTGGTTTCCACTGGACGAATTACGCGGTTGGCAACGCGGCGCCGACGTCGTACGTGCCCAACACCATGCTTTCGTACGGCTCGAAAATGACCTTTTTCGAGCGCTTTGTCAACACGATGTACCAATGGTACTGGGACGTCGGCAGCACATTCTACTTGATGCGGTACCAAGAAAAAATCAAACGCGAAATCTTCCCTGACGCTCCGTCCATCTACGAACTGCGCCGAAGCGCCAGTTTGGTGCTGCTGAACAACCACTTTTCCTTCAACTACCCGCGCCCTTTGGTGCCCAACCTGGTCGAGGTCGGCGGAATGCACCTCAAGCCCCTCAACAGGCCGCTGCCGATCGACATCAAGGAGTGGTTGGACGGCGCCAAGCACGGTGTCATTTACTTCTCCATGGGCTCCAATTTGAGGGGCACGTGGTTCCCCGAGAGACAGAGAAAGGCCTTCATCGAGGCGTTCGCCGAGTTGCCGCAGAGGGTTTTATGGAAATGGGAAAGTGACTCCATTCCCGACCAGTCCAAAAACGTCAAGGTCTACCCGTGGATGCCTCAGCAAGAAATTCTGGGTAGATATTTTGTTAACTTTACTTTGAAAATAAAAAAAAATCAGAAAACAGAAAAATTTCTGCAAATTAAAAAAAAAATATTAGAAAAACATACACAATTAAATCCGGAATGAGAAATGAAACAAAAATTACCTATTTTCTGGAAAAAAGACGAAAATTTTCTCAGAATCCTAAATAATTTTGTGAAAAACGCATTATCTTGCCACCAAAAGTCTTCCATTTTTTCTACTCGTATCTTGAATTTAAAAATATTTTCCAAATTTTAATATTTCCAAAGAAATAATTGGCTGGTGCTAATTGAATATTCGCTTGATTTGAAAATTAAATACAAAATTTGGCCTAAAATCACGCATTTTAACTAATCTAATTTGGAGAAATAAAAAATTCTTGATACAGAATGAATAAAGTTTCCCGACATTTAGGATAAATTTGCTTTCTGTTTGCTAGCTTCTTCAGACCTTTTTTATAATTAAACTTTTATTTTAATTCAAGAACACTAGATTTCCATAATATAAAAAATAAAAAACTGAGACAGAATAAGCGCTTCTGATTGTGTTGAAAAATTATAAATTTTATTTATGAAAACGAATTTTTTTATATAGTTAACTTCGTGTATCTCTTCTCAAGTACAAACTTTTGCAGTAATTTAAATATATTTTCTTAAATAATTATACTTTCAGCTCATCCAAACGTGAAAGTTTTCATCACGCATGGCGGTCTGCTCGGAGCTCAAGAGGCGATGTACAACGCTGTGCCTCTAATTAGCATCCCTGTTGCCTGCGACCAGTATTTGAACGCGAAAAGGGCAGAGCTGGGCGGCTACGGACTTCAACTTCATTTGAGGAATATCACGAAAGAGAGCGTCAAGTGGGCTATTAAAACTGCCCTGTTTGATAAAAAGTACTAAATTAATATATTAAAAATAATAATGATAAAAATTTTCGTGTTCAGAATCAGGGCGGAGGCGAAGAGGAGGTCGGAAATTTTCCACGATCAGCCAGAAACTCCACTTGAGCGAGCCGTTTTCTGGGTTGAGTACGTCCTGCGGCACAAAGGGGCGCCCCACCTGCGTTCGGCATCCCTCGGCCTGCACTGGATGCAGGAGGCGTTGCTCGACGTTTACGCCGTCATGGCTTTCATGTCACTCGTTTTCATGTACATTTCATACTTGTTAGTCAAAAGGGCGTTCATCAAAACCAAAGCGAAATTAATCGACTTTGTACAAGTAAGCAAGAAAAAATTGCAATAAAAAAAATGTTTTCATGGTTGTTCTTTGTTTAACAATTTGGTTTGATTTATTTAAAAATTGATGAGATACAATTATGCAGCAAATAGATCAAATTTTTTTTACTAATTGCTACTCAAATTATAATAAAAAATTTCAGTATATCCTATTAATTTTAAAACTGCTTCATGCTTTAATAGGTAGTCCACGATTGAAAAGTCGCGCGAACGAACAAAGTTAATAACATGTGTGGCCCATAAAGCGTCCACGATCAGTTCGCTGGGCGAAATTTCTCAGTTCGCGCGACTCGCGCGAAGTTCGCTGGAGTTGAATCGAGCTCTACTCTGGCGAACTTCGCCAGACCCGCGTCGAGCGAAAAATCTTGCGCATGCGTGCTTTTCATAAAAATTAAAATAATAAAAAAGCTCAATGAAGTTTTTTTTTGTAATTTACTTATTTAGATTTTTTGCCAGATCTCAATTCCGTTTTTTTTTTTATTTTACAGGAAAATTTTAATTTTAAAGCTAAATTAATTAATTTATTTATCTCATTTCAATATATTTTGATTACATTTTTGGTACCTTATAACTTCATTTTCATAGAAATTAACTTAATTGTTTTAAAGACAAGAAAGTTTTGTTTTAAATATATTGATACATTGATATATTTAATTAGATTGATCAATTGAGATTATAAAATTAATTTAATTCTACATTACCCTAAACTATTTTTAAGAAATTGAAACGAAAGCTAATTAATCTAAAATGTCTATCGTCGCTGTTTTAAATTTGCAATTTTTATTAATATCAATTCTATTGTATTGAGAAAATCGTTTTAAAAATTTGATGAATAATTATTTTTCTAATTTCTAAGTGGACTCATTGTGGTGGATGGAAGTTTTAGCAAAATTCTTTGTGGTGGTGGTGCCTTAATAATTCAATATTTTCCTCCCAACAATTGATTAATTTTCAATATTTTAGATGTTTTGTAACCATTGAAAAAAATTTAATATTAAAATTATTGACATTTTATAGATTTTATAGTACTCTTGTAAATTACTATAAAAAAACGCATGAAAATTAAATATTTTATTTTTATTTATTTACATTTTTTTTGCTGAATTTTCAATTAAATTTTTTGGTCAATTCTCAAATATATAGTATTTTTTAACTTAACAAGATAAATTAAAATTTTTTAAATTTAAATCAATTTATTTATTAGGTACTTGTGACGTATTAGTGACGTAACTTCGCGCGAATATTGTATTTCAATCGTGGACGCTTCAAGCGAACGAAAAAAAAGTTCGCGCGAAGTTCCCTGTTCGCTCAGCGAAGTTCGTTCGCGCGAACTTCAATCGTGGACTACCTATAACAGATAAAAAGTGATGCTTTCTCAAAGATAACACATTAGGCCATTAATTATTTAGTGATTCACAATCAGTGGTCCATAGTGAGATAAGATGATGAGCTTTGGTCTTGCAAAAAGATAAGGTCGATATAGTTAGTCTCTCTGAAGTATCAAAATGTGAAGGCACAAGTCCAAGTAAAACTGACAAGCACTTTTGATCTCATTTAATAATCATAGGTGCAGAGAAAGGTAAAAGTGAATTGATTTTCTAAATTTTCAAACTCAATTTCTTTTATTAGGATCTGCAGAAATGATCATGAAAGGTCTCTTTATATTGGCAACTTTGCTAACCATTAGTGATGGCGCGCGAATCCTGGCGTTCCTCCCTTTGCCAGGCAAAAGCCACTCGATCGTCTTCACTTCGCTGACACAAGCGTTGGCCGCAAAAGGCCACCAACTGGTCGTCGTGAGCGCTTTTCCGCTGGCAAAGCCTCCCGCGAATTACACCGACATAAATTTGTGGGAAAGCATGAAACCGTTCCTGGAGGCAGAATTTGACGCCAGCATTTACGAGTACGCGGACGAGAAAGTCATTACGATTCCCTTTCGGTACTTGCGAGACTTCCAGATCTACGGCGAAATCGCCCTGCGCGATCCGCAAGTGGCTAATCTGCTCAAGGACACGGAAGGGTTTGACCTGGTCATCGCCGAGGATTTCATGACAGACGCCACTTTTGGTTTTGCTTACCATTTCAAAGTAAGAAAATTAAAAAATGTTAAAAAAAAAATTTTTAAAAAAATCAAAAACAAAAAATTTTAATTCTGAAAAATTTTAGTCATTCTCCATCAAACTTCTTATCTCATCTTTCATTAATAATTTATATTAATTTAAAAAGAGTTAAAAAATTAATTAATTCAATTAATTTAACCATAAACCAAACGGATAATGAAAAATAAAATGAATAAACATTTCCGGTTTTCATTCAACTTTTTTCACAGAAATGTATATTGAAGAGTTGAGCCTGGTTTTATGTTTTTTAAATTAATTTAATATTAACTTAGGCTCCCCTGGTGCTTATTTCTTCAATGGGAGGTTTCTACTGGACCAACCACGCAGTGGGCAACCCTGTGCCAACCTCCTATGTCACCAACAGCGTTCTTCCCTTCACCTCAAAAATGACCTTTTGGGAGCGACTGGTCAACACTGCGTTCAGCCTGTACTGGGACTTGGGAAGCGAAATTTTATATTTCCCCAAGCAAGAAAAATTAAAGGACGAAATTTTCGGTCCCGGAGTGCCGTCGGTGAAGGAGCTCCGAAAAAGTGCCAGTCTCGTCCTAGTCAATAATCACTATTCTTTCAATTACCCGCGACCTCTTGTCCCTGCTTTCGTCGAAGTTGGAGGGATGCACGTGAAACCAGCGACGAAACCTCTGCCGAAAGATATCAAAGAATGGCTGGACGGTGCAAAGGACGGCGCCATTTACTTCACAATGGGATCAATTATGAACTGCAGTTTGTTCCCGGAAACGCAGCGAAAGGCTTTGGTCGAGGCGTTTGCTGAATTGCCGCAAAGGGTTTTGTGGAAGTGGGAAACTGAATCAATTCCAGGCCAGCCCAAAAATGTCAAAGTTGCATCTTGGATGCCACAGCAAGAAATTTTAGGTAAAAGAAAAAATTTAAAAAAATTGCAATTTTGATATCAATCAATAATTTTCCAGCTCACCATAATGTTAAACTGTTCATAACTCACGGTGGATTACTCGGCGCTCAGGAGGCGATGTATCACGGAGTTCCAATTATAGGAATTCCAGTATTTGGCGACCAAAAATTAAATGTCAACAGGGCCGTGAATAGTGGATACGGATTACGGCTGGATTTGTTTAACATTACAAAAGATTCCGCTTTGCGTGCCATAAAGAAAGCGTTGACTGATAAAAGGTTTCTCAGTCAAATATTTATTACATTTATATAAATTTTAAATTTCTTTATAGAATTTCAGAAGAAGCGAAACGCAGGTCGAAAGTTTTCCACGACCAGCCAAAAGGTCCGTTAGAAAGGGCGGTTTTCTGGATTGAATACGTCATAAGACACAACGGAGCGCATCACCTTCGCTCTGCTGCGCTTGATTTGAGCTGCATGCAGCTTGCATTGTTAGATGTTTATGCATTTATTTTGGTAATTTTTGCCATCACACTGGCAATCCCTGTTTTAATTTGTAAGAAACTGTGCTGCAAAAGCAAGAGAAATAGTATCAAGGACAAAAGTAAAGCGAAAAAGAAATTATAAAAATTGTTATTGACATTATCAAAGTTTATAACAGTTAAAAATAAAATATTTAATGAGCTTATTATAAAACAAATCTAACAATGAACGATGTTGTATTATTTATTTAATTATTTGCTAACTTATTAATTTCTTATTTATTCTTTTCTGTTAATATTCAGGAATATTCGATAAATTTAGCTCTCCTGGCATACGGCTTTTTCATTTTTTGCCAAACCTTTTTTGGATCAGAATTTTGTGAGGATAATGAAAATGAGAGTTAAATTGAGATCCGAAGCTTAGTCAACAATCGGTGACCACTGAATTTGAAATTGTTTTAATTTACTGACATTTAAAGATGCTTTTTCGTCGGAGCGAAATGAGGAAAAAAATTATTTATCTTGAACATTGAATGTGTGTAAAATTTCCCGATCGCTAAAAATCTCAAGTTTGTTTTATATTTGAAGTTAAATATAGTTCGCAATGCAAATTTGTTCCATTTTGGAAGCATAAAATTGTTAAAAATTAAAAAAAAAAAAAAAAAAAAAAAGCAACACCCCACAAACAAGCATTTCAGATATTTTCATCAATATATCTTAAAAAAAATTATTAAATTGGTAAATAATGCCCAATTTTATTACATCTTCTTGGTCTCAATTTATTCCATCTGAAAAATATTAGTTTAAATTTACATAGTTATTATTTTTTTTAAATATCTCTTACAATCGAGACTATCAAGAGCATTGTGATTTTTATCTTATTTTTAAAGCAATATGAGCATAGTCACCTCTACTTTACTATATCATATCTGGTAGCGATAACGAAGTCCGTTGGAGACATCTATAGGTTCTTTGAAACATAAATTAAATATTTCAAAATCGTGAGCTTCAGCTGCATGAACTTGAAACGCATCGATATCTCGCAAACGCGGTCTGCTTTTGTTACATTCCGATTTGGCTGATAACAAAAATGTGAGAGAACTTTCATGTAACAATTATCATGTTTCAAATTTTATTTTTAGATGAACATCAATTGCGCCTTTCTGTTGCTTTTTGTCGCATATTTTGCGAATTCCGCGTTCAGCGCACGGATCCTCGGCGTTTTCCCGTGGCCTGGGAAAAGCCACATGATCACTTTTTCCGCAATCACCCACGCCCTGGCTGAAAGAGGTCACGAACTGGTCGTGGTCAGCACCTATCCGTCCAAGAAGCCTCCTGCGAATTACACGGACATTGACACATGGCCAAGTTTAAAAGTGATGTACGACGAAATGATGGCCAGCACCGACATTTTCGAGTTTGAAGATGTCCCGAAAATTTTTCATCCTGCTTTATATTTGTCGATGGGAGTTCAAGCGGTTGAGCTCATGACGTTCCAAGATGAACAGGTTCAGAAACTTTTGAAGGACGAGAGAGGCTTTGATCTGATTATTGCAGAGGATTTTGTTTGTGACGGCATTTTTGCTTTTGCTCAACACTTCAAGGTAAAATTTTCCATAAAATTTTATTAATTAAGAGCGCATGAGGAGTTTATTTAAGACAGAATTAAAAGTGTAATGGAATTCTAGGTATTTTAAGTAGCCAAAATTTGATTAACTTTTAGTTCCTTTAAGGGAAATTATATAAAATATAAAAATTGAACAAAACATTTCAACTTACAATGAAAAGCAAGTAATTAAATAATAATGAGCAATAGAATTTATTTATGTATATTTCGGTATATTTAGAATTATTTGTTAATGCTTTAAAATAAAATTTGTGGTAAAAAAAAAAAAATGTAAATTACTAAATATTTTAGGCAAAACGTAAAAAAAAAGTTTTTTTACAGATCTGAAAGAAACTAATAAATAATTTTATTTAATTTTTTTTAACATTCAATAATTGTTTTGCTATTCACTTAATTTGTTAATTAACATTAATTTTTAAATTAATAAAATTATTTTTCCTTTCATCTTTATAGGCACCTCTTATTTTAATATCGTCATTTGGCGGATATCCCTGGCAAAATTACGCCGTCGGCAATCCTTACAACCCTGCTTACGCCACCAATAATCTTTTGGAGTTCTCGGATCGAAAAACCTTTTGGGAACGATTTGTCAACACGATTTACAACCACTACTGGGACTTTGCGGCCGATCTGTATTATTACCCGAGGCAAAATCAACTCGCGCGAGATTTCTTCGGGCCAGGTTTGCCGTCGGTGAAGGAGCTTCGCAAGACGGCCAGTCTCTCGATGACCAACAGCCACTTTTCCACCAACTACGTCCGCCCTTTGGTGCCCGCGTTCATCGAGGTCGGAGGAATGCACGTCAAGCCACCGACTAAACCGCTGCCGGCCGAAATGCAAAAGTGGATCGACGAGGCCGAGCACGGTGTCATTTACTTTTCGCTCGGCTCGAACGTCCAGTCCTCGATAATGCCGGACGAAAAGAGGAAAGCGTTTTTGGACGCTTTTTCAGAGTTGCCACAACGCGTTCTTTGGAAATGGGAAACGGAAAATTTGCCTGGGAAACCGGACAACGTGATGATCAGCCAATGGGCACCACAAATGGAAATTTTGGGTAAAAAATTAAAAAAAAAAAAAATTAAACAATTTATGAAAACAAAAATTATTGAGATTATTGATGTTCATTTTTATACAGCTCTTCTACACTGCTTTATTACCTCCCAAATCCCAAAGTTCAAAATCATTCTGAATGTGAGAATGAATATTTTCATATTATTTGAATTTCAAATTTTTAATTTGTCAAGCTTTGAGACTTTTTATGGAAGGAAGGAAGAAAGGTTTAATTTTATATTTCACTGTTACTATATAATGGCAGTAGAAAGTAATACATGAATCTAAATTTTATTTAAATTCTTTTAAAAGACGACTAAGAATTAAAATAAAAATATACTAGTTAAAATTGACTTACAAGCTAATATCCGATAACAATAAAATATTTTAGGAAAACTTCTTTGGTCTATGCAAATTTCTCTTTCTTGTGTTAATTTTATACTATCTTAAATTTTATAGCACACCCCAACGTTAAACTGTTTATTTCGCACGGTGGATTGCTGAGTGGGCAGGAGGCAATGTATAATGGAGTTCCGGTTGTGGGAATTCCTTTCTTTGGAGACCAAATAATGAACGTCCAAAGGGCGGAGAATGAAGGATACGGAATCATGCTACCATTCAAGAAAATCACCAAAGAGTCGGTTTTGTCGGCAGTTAAGAAAGGACTTCACGATGAAAAGTAATCAAAATTTCACACTTAAAACTTTTTCAAAATAATTTTTTTAACAAAAAAAAAACACTTTTAAAATATCATAGGATTGAAATATTAAACACTAATTATTTTGCTGCGTTCTATGCGCATTCAAAATTGAGGAAATATAAATATTTAGATAAGCATAAAAAGTAAGCTACAAGGATTAGCAAACACTATCAACTTGTATATGCTTTGTGTCTCTTTTTGTGCACAGCAGCGACTAATTTTCTCAATATTGATATAATTCGATTTAGAATGTAATTTAATTGATCAGTTACCCTAACTTCTTGGAATTTGCCATTTTTTCCAATTATTATCAAGAATCATCTCATTTTTTTTTTTATATAATTTTTAATTAATTTCAGAATTCGTGAGCAAGTGAAATTGAGACAAGGTGTCTATTTGGATCAGCCGCAGACTCCTCTTGAAAGAGCCGTTTTTTGGACGGAATACGTTTTAAGGCACAACGGGGCGCCCCACTTGCGCTCGGCAGCCCTTGACCTCACGTGGTACCAACTGGGACTGATTGACGTTTATGCGTTTATTTTGTTGCTATTAATTGGATTTGTGTCTATCAGCGTCTTGTTGTGTAATATTTGCCTGTGCAGAAAAATTGGAAGTAAAAATAAAGTCGAGTAACAACAGATTAATAATATTGTTCTTAAGAGCAAGCGAGTAGATTTCGACTCATGACCCCCCAAGATAATTATTGGAAATAAAGCCCGGGTGGTGATGACGCGTATTTGACAATTGGTTGACCTTCGCACGTTGGTCTTTCATTCTCGTTGTTACTTGGCAGTGATCGAGGTTAGTGACATTGTTTTAATGCCTCCCTTTGAATTTATGCATTCAATTCATTCACTTTAATTTTTATTGATTTGCAATTTGTTTCACTTTTTTGGCTGTTATATAAATATTTTTCATGACTGAATTTTGTCAGTTAAAAAAACCCCAAATTTAAAAAAAGGCAAAAAAAATTTGATCAAACTTAAGAATTATTTAATTCAGGTAACACAGTTAATAAAGTCTGGTGACACGATCGTTATTAGTAATTATTTTGCTATATGGCAACGCGATTTTAGTGTGTTTTTCAAATACAATTATAGTATAAAATATTATATTATTTATCAGATATATGTATGTTTATTGTTGAATGTATTTATATTTTATTGAATTCAAGAAAAAAACAATACAATTTGAATGAGCGCTACTAAATTAAAAAACGAATTATGAATTCACATTATATAATGTTTATGAAAGATCAACACGCTCTCAATTGTAGTCTGTTACTTTACTGGTTTTCTATTAAAGTTGTTAGTTTTGGTTAATTTTTTAGTTTAAACCTAAAGATTTGTTTTGTTGTTGTTGTTGTTGTTGTATTTTGATTTAATTGGCTATAGTTAATACCATTTAGCCAGGATTTGTTTTCATTTGTTGAAATTGGGCGAATGGGAAAAACAGGAAAATTATGTTCTATTGAATACAAACAGTATTTTGTAAGAAATTTATATCATTTTTAGAATCTTATCACAATTATAATTTTATCAATTGTTCAAATAGACCAGCTGACAAAGATAAGACGCAAAGTGGTACTTTCGCATGAGGCACTTTGTTTGTTATTCACTTGGCATGACTGCAGCTGTACTCGATGAAAGTGGACATTTAGTCAGCATTTAATCTTCAAGTACGGTTCGTGCCCCATTATGAGTCGTTAATTTTTTATTCTTTTATAAAATAAAATTATAATTTTATTCAAGATGGAATTTTTAAAAACGTCGCTGGTGGTTTTTCTCGCACTCGCGGTCCTATCGGCCGAAAGTGCTCGGATTCTGGGCGTTTTTCCGTGGCCGGGAAAGAGTCACATGATCACCTTCGCCGCCCTGACGCACGCCCTGGCCGAAAGGGGCCACGAACTGGTGGTCGTCAGCACCTACCCATCAAAGAAACCGCCCGCCAACTACACGGACATCGACATCGCCCCCAGTTTGGAGGAAATGTATCAAGCGATGATGAACAATCCAGACATGTACGATTTTGAGGACATCCCTCTCTTCCTGCTGCCCAATGAGTTTTTCTGGCCGGCCGGAACGCAAGCACTGGAATTAGCATTCGGAGACCAGAAAATGAAGGACCTACTTAAGGATGAGAAAGGGTTTGATTTGGTCATCTCGGAGGATTTCATGTGCGACGCAGTATTCGGCTTTGCCCATCACTTTAAGGTAAACAAGAACAAAATAAGATATTAATTAGCAAATTCACAAACGGGCATTTTCCTTGTTTAAAAACAATTGTTTTTGGTGGAAAATAAAGCAAAAGTACGACTTTAAAATACCAGTTCCTACATCCCTTTTTTTCAAGTTAGAGAAAAAATATACAAATAAGCTAAAAAAAAAAAACTCGCATATTCATTAAATTTATTATATATATTAATTATGTATTTTTCTTACTCAAAAAATAGGATTCTAAACCGTTATCAAGACAAGGTTTCATTATATTTTTACTAATTATCAGTGGCGGCAACAAGGGTGTCGAGGGCGGAAATTTACATGGGCACCGGGTCGCGGAAGGGACGATGAGCAAAAAAATTAAAAAGATAAAAAAATTTACTAATCAGCCATCAGCCGAAATAATTTTGTTTCAAAAATTAATTTTTTAAGTGGTCAATCAATACGTTTTAAAATTAATATTTTATAATTTTAAATTGAAATTGGAAATTTTCTTGATGGGTTATTTCAGCTGGTTATGATTTTGAAGAAAAAATCCTATTTAAGAATAATTGACTCGGAGAGCCCGTCGAGAGCTTTCAATTCAAACACCGCGCAATTCATTCATCTGAAAATTTTTCCTCAAATACATTCGCAGATTAAAATAAGGTTCTAGCAAGAAGGAGAGAAATTTATTTGAGCTCTTTGCTGAAATCACTGCTTTTTAAGTAAGTTGCAGTTTCTAATTAACAGTAATTTACATAGACCACTGTTAATAGATGCAGAAGGAAATAAATCTATATCCAATTAAAACAATAAATTTCCACTGAAATTTCCCGTCGCAGGCACCGTTGGTCCTAATCTCGTCCTTTGGCGGTTTCCACTGGCAAAACTACGCAGTGGGCAACCCGTACAACCCAGCCTACGCCGTGAACAACATTCTCGAGTACCCTGACAAGAAGACCTTTTACCAACGCATGATAAACACCCTGTTCGTGTGGTACTGGGACATCGGCAGCGAATTCCTCTACTACCCGCAGCAAGAAAAACTGAAAGAGAAATTTTTCGGCCCGGGCCTGCCGTCGCTGAAGGAGCTGAGGAGGAGCGCCAGCCTGGTGCTGGTCAACAACCACTTCTCGCTGCACTTCCCGCGACCTTTGGTGCCCAACTTCGTCGAGGTCGGGGGCATGCACGTCAAACCGGCGTCGAAAGGAAAGTTGCCGCCGAAAATGCAAAACTGGCTCGACGACGGCAAGGAGGGCGTCATTTACTTTTCGCTCGGATCCAATTTGAGGGCAAATATGCTCCCCGAGGCAAAAAGAACCGCGTTCTTGGAAGCTTTTGCCCAACTGCCGCAGCGGGTCATCTGGAAATGGGAGTCGGAAACGCTGCCCGGGAAGCCCGACAACGTCATGATCAGTCCGTGGGTCCCACAAATGGAAGTCCTAGGTTAATTTTGACAACAATTATAATATTGTTTTAACAGAAATTATTATTTCAGCACATCCAAATGTGAAATTATTCATCACGCATGGTGGTCTTTTGAGTGGGCAGGAGGCAATGTACAATGGAGTCCCAATAGTTGGAATCCCGGTTTTTGGAGACCAAAAGATGAACATTCAGAGAGCTGTGAATGAGGGCTACGCAGTTATGCTTTCCTTGAAAAATATCACCAAAGAGACCGTTCTCACGGCTATTCTTGAGGGTCTAAATAACCCTAGGTAATATTAACGGCGATTCAAAAGCCTAATTACGTTGAGACTATGAATGAAAAACTTAAATTATTGAAACTTTGATTTTTTATGGGAGATAAATTAAAAAGATTGTAGGTCAAAAGTACCCCAGACCAAAAGCACCCCGCTTCACTGGGAGCTTTTGAAACTGTGCATCCATTTGAGGTACCCTAAATAGTGTTTATTGATTTAATCGGATATAATATAACCTTCTATGTTATTATTAATTGGGTAAATCAACTTTTGTAAAATTATTGATTGCTTTATTTCTTATACATTAAAACAAAATAGGGATTGAGGTTTGTTCGTATAAATTTAAATAAGGTTTAACAATTTAATACATTTTAATTACTAAATCTCTCATCGCATCATTGATTCCTACTCCTGGGACATATTAATTGGAAACACGCCAGTGTTTAATTCAGGACCTAACAAATCTCATTAAAGACAAATTCACTTTAAAATTTCGATTTTAATATTTTTTTAGCAGTTTTTGTGAACACAGTATGTCATTATAGTACTTTGAAAAATAAATTAGATATGAGAGGCACTTATTATTCAACATTACTTAAAATCAAATATCAAGCTAAACTCTAAATCATTTAAATATTATTTTTCATTTGAATATTTTTTTAATAAAATTTTATTAATGTGAAAAAATTAACGAATAATTGCATTCAAAATTGCCTTCCGTTTTGATAATGGTAACTAAAATTACAGAAGTTAAAATAATATTATACTCTATATCTAAGTACCGTTAAATTTTAATTCAAGCAGCTATAAGATTTTCACCAATTAAACTCTTGTTTATAATACCGAATTATAAATAAATATAGTTGCACTCAATTACGCCTTTTTTTAAAATTTATCTCAAATCGGCTTTTTCTTCTTTATTCCAAATTAGCTTATTTTTTTTCATCTTAAATTAGCGATATCTGATTTATAACAACTTCACTTTTTCAAATTTAAAGTACATCGACTTTTTCTATTTTATTACAAATTAACTTTTTCTGATTTACCAATAATTTACTTTTTCAAAAATAACTCCATTCAGCGTTTTTTTTTTCTAATTTATCCTAAATTGGCTTATTCTTTTCCACCTTTATTTAGCTTTATCTGATTTATTACAAATTCAGTTTTTCTAATTTAAGTTACATCGACTTTTTCTAATTAATTTTTTTCTGATTTAAGATTAATTGGCTTTTTCAAAATAACTCAATTTGGATTTTTTTTTTAATTTATCCTAACTCGGCTTTTTCTTTTTTACCTCAATTTAGCTTTCAGTTTAACTTTAATTTTTTCCAAAAAAAATCTTCATTCCATCAAAATAGGTGAATCAGACTGTCTTGTAATGTTTTTGTTGTCAATTTGTGCAAATTAATTAGGATTTTTTTACATTTGTTGTCGACCCAGTTAACTTGGCTTTGGCCACGTCAAGCTTTTAAAACGCACTCGTTGATAAATTTTTTTATGAATAGGATTCGAACAGAAGTGCAACGGCGAAAAGCAGTTTTTCTGGATCAACCCGAGACTCCGCTGGAGAGGGCTGTGTTTTGGACCGAATACATAATTAGGCACAACGGCGCACCTCACCTTCGTTCGGCAGTTATGGATTTGACGTGGTACCAAGAGAAGCTGCTCGATGTTTACGCAGTTTTGCTTTTAAGTGTTACAGTATTATTGCTGACCTTCGGCTTTTTTGTGAAATTCATTGTGCAAAAATGTAAAGGCGGAAACAAAGTTAAAAGTAAAAATGAATAAAATATACTAAATACATTAACCAGATAATTCAAATCAATTTTTTACTTTTCCTGTTTTGGCCCTAATAAAAAGCGTACTTTCCATTACTTAATTAAAAAATATTGACTTTTTGTATTGATCAAATTATGAAAAGAGATTATCATGCAAAATTAAGTTGGTTATTTGATCAAATATTCTCAGAGCTTGCGTCATCATTTGTCTACGTTCGAAAATTACCACTTCAGCTGACAATGTGGAGACGAGCAGACCTGTCAAAACTCGTAATGTTCGCGAATTCAATTTTTGGATTTAGATGTGAATTACCTAAAAGCAACTACGGAAAGGCAGCTGCGAAATTCTATGAATGTTTCATTCTCGGTCTAGTTCTTTTCAAATTCGTTCACAAAATGTACAATCTGATAAGTACTTCACAAAACATAAATAATATTCTGGCTTTCGGCCAATACTTCTTTAGCGTGGCTTTTCTGTTTGAAGTTACATTTACATCGATTGCAATTGGATGGAACCGCAAAAAAATAAGCAAGTTGTTTTTCAAATCTCGCACTTTAATTCCAAATTTGGAACAAAACTACAATTTGCACCGTTCAGCAGGATTTTCATTTTGCGTGTACTTTACGATTCCCGTGATCATTTTACTAGTTTCGTTTGGAGTGCAATCAGTGCTGCTCTTGCAAAGGCTTGAAGTATTAAAAGATCAATTTTTTGACGAATCCACAGGAAATATTGTATTTAAAATAGGCAATGAAACTGTTGTGGAAAATTTTCATAATAAACAAATGGAAGTAATTTTCTCGTCAGTATTATACACTTTAATCGCTGTAAAAAAAATTTCACACAATGCTCTTCTTCTCACTTTGATTTGCTACGCAGAAGCCAACATCCACCTCTTAAGAAATTCGCTTACCAATAATTTGAAGAAAAATATGAATTTCAAAATTGCAAAGTTCCAAATTTTCTGCCTGAATGAATGGATCCGATGCCAGCAGAACGTTTCACTGTAAGTAAAAGTCGATAAAAGTTAATTGAATAATTTATTAAAAATGGAATTTTTTTCCAGCTTTATCCAAAAATTTAATTCTCAGTGCACCCTTTACTTGCTCATTACAATGAGTTGCAACTCACTACTGCTCTGCTTATTAGCTTTCCTCATCGCAAAGGTATGGGGTGTGGCATATTTTATTTTTATTCAATGTTAAAAAGGCCAAAATTTTTAGGCAAAGAGCCTTTTCTTAATTACTGTGTACTCAACTTTCGTCGTTTTTGGACTGCTTGAAATTGTGATATTTTGCTACGCTGGGCACAAGGTTAGCAGTGCTGTAAGGGTTCCTTATACTTGTGAATTTTAAATTGCTTCATGAATATTTGCCCATTAGGCACATTCTCTGGTCGTCTCTTTGTACAGAGTGCCTGTGTTGCATGAACCCATAACTACCGCCCAAGCTCTGCACTCGGCCGCGGCCGACTGCCAGTTGTCCATGGAAATTCGCTGCGGTCCATTTTTTTCACTTTCTATTCAATTTCTCATCTCGCTTTTTACTGCGGTTATTACATACTTTGTGGTGCTTCTGCAGGTTTAAGTGTAAAACAATTTATGAAATTAAGATTACATTTAAAAATTTATTATATTAAAGTATTAAACTATTTTCCATAAATTCCACCTTCAGTGTTAACTTTTAATTTATTTCCTTAAAAAATATATTTCGGAATGGTTCTATTCAAATAAAAAAAAAATATGTAATCTCCTCATTACAGTTCATTATTTCAATTGGCAAAAATATTTTGCTTTGTTTGAACAGTGGTATTGGTATTGATTTTCTTTTCATAATACAAGTGAAGTACCCCATTGCCAAAATAGTATTATTCTCTGGCTGATAAAGCTTTGCATTAGATGTGGATTGTTATCGATTTCCATCAATACTTGCTGTATTTTGGAAGTATGAGCACCAGAAACAAAAGATATTTAATGAAAATTTTGGAACTTCTTTCATATCTATCGGTAGATAGAGGCTTTGTCAAATAGAAAATTTCAGCAAAGAATAAAATATCGCTATTTTTTTCAAACACCTACATAATATGTAATTAAGCACTGGTGGAAAAAGCTACTTTTCTTAAAGAAGACTCTACTCTTGTTTGAAAACGTAAGAGGCAAAGAAGTTTTGAAGCAAAATAGTCAATATTTTTTTGAAAGCCTGTATTTTTTTAATGAATTATAATTTTTATTCTTATTTTTTTATGAAGACGCTGATTTTCAAACAAGATGAAGCCTTTTAGTTTAAAAATCACCTTCATGCTTGAAAAGAATAATAATTTTGTCTTGTCAATTAGCAGTTACTTGATAAAAAAAAATAACTATAAACGTTTTGCTAAATTTTAAAAATCTCATACTAATTGTAAAACTGAAATCCAACTGATTTTTCTAATTTTTCACTTTTTGTTTCAAATTTTTATTAATCAGAATGAAATAATTTCCATTTTCCAAAAATGAATTTTGAAGCAAATAAAAAAAATCAAATACATAGACTTATTCAACAGTCTAGCTTTGATTTTTACTAATCGAATAAGTATTTCATTCGAATTGATGAAAATTAATATCCATCAAATCTCTTCCTTCTCAACCTTATCATAACATTTATTATAATTATTATTCCACAATTCATTGGAATGTGTATTAATTGCCTTCTGCCTTCCGTCTGAAGAAGTTTCTCAACACAAAATTTTCAATGACAAACTAAACCATCTGCTCTTGTTTGATAAGGCAGAGTCGGAATTCCGCAACTCGACTGCCGCTCTTAATGACATCAAAGCAAATTAAACTCAAAATTACGAAAGCCTCTAGCGAAAACCGTCAAATTGATTCCACGAGAGCGACGCCATGAAGTCTCTCTTTTCGAGATTTCACATGCGTACTGCACCGGTCCAATCAAACACAGCTGAGCAAATTTTCCTCCCTCGTCTCGTCACTCACCCCGCGAAAAATGGAACGACGCACTCGTCTTCGCGCCCCGGCCGCGCCAGCATGTTCCTCTGCCCCGACAAACCCTTCCATCTCAACCGAACCGTTCTGATCTGCAACCTGATCTCAGGGTACTGCCTGCTGCCTCGGTGCCGCTCGTCCTCCAGGTGGCGCCGCACCTTTTCCGTCCTGCAAGAGTGCTACGAATTGACCCTGAACGTGGCCATCTTCGTGTTGACCTCCGGGGTCGCCTGGGTCGTCCTGACCGGCAGCAGGGACAACCAGGCCACCTTCGCCACCTTGGTGAATTCCATCAGGGGCGTCCTGTTCGCCACCTACATCTGCTTTTCGTCGCTGTTCCTGAAATTCGGCAAAAAACAACTGTTGAAGATCTTCCGAGAAACGACCAGGGTGGCCAACCTGGACCGCTTCAAGCACCTCCAGTCGCAATGCCTGGCCAGGTCGTCGCAGCGAACCTTCTGCGTCTACTTTCTCCTACCCTTACTGGCCGCCTACGTGTCCGTAATTATGAACGTGTTTCTGACTGTGATGGTGGTTTGTGGTTACTACGAGGACAATGTGTTCAATTCTGTCAACGAGGGTGACCCTAAAATCTACACTTCAATTGAGCCGCTCAGGTACATCCGTATTTTGGTCTTTTTGGTTTTTTGCTACACCAAACAAGCGTCACACGACGCGATTTTTCTGCATCTCTACTGTTTCGTGGCCGAAGAGTTGAAGGTACTGAAGCGGTCCCTGCGTCAGGTCGTGAGGGAAAATCAGCAGATTCTGCAGATATCGACCGACCCTGCGGTTCCCATGGCGATCAACATCGAGAACTGGGTCGATTTTCAGCAAATTCTGGCCAGGTGAGAGCAAATACATAAAAATGAACTAATCAAAATTCAGAATTGCATTAAGTTGTTTCCGGTTCGGTGCAGGTTGATGCGCAAGATCAATTCCTTTGCCTACCCGTATGTGATCGTCATGGCTGGTTACAACGCGGGCATTCTCTGCATCACAGCATATTTGTTCTCAAAGGTAAATTTACCTTGGTTTAATTAAAACGGAGTAAATTTTAAAATTTTAATTTAAACAGTGGTGTAAGTTTTGAATTAAAACTACAACAAAAATTTTAATTGATATTTCTTCTATTTCTGAAATTGCAAGTTGAGCGTATTTATAGGGTTTATTTTTTCCACAAATTTTAATTTGAAATGTCTAGAGATGCAAGATTAGCTAGATTTTGATTTTAACATTTTTTGTCTTTGAATATTTTAATTTTTTTCTATAAATCGCAAAATTTAATGATTAACGATATAATTTACCTAGCAATAAGAACCACAACTAAAATTACAATTTTTAAAGATAAAAATATGGATTATTATTATTTTTGGATCATAAATCAGTTTTCTTATATTACTGGTTAATGAAAGAAGAGAATAATTAGATTTTCTTTAATTCTACTGACTAAATTTGAGTGGCTTTGTAGTTTTAATTAAATTTTGTTATTATAACGTATAACAAATAATGATGATATTTATTAAGAGGAAGAGAAGTGAAAGCAAAAAATTAATTATTCTGTCTGAAAGTTGAAACTCTTTGTCGTAAGAGCTTTAGAGATTGCCAACTTGATATTTTCCTTTCACTGTTTTTTGTGTCGTACTTCACAGAACTTATATTTTGTCCCAGCTTACAGACTCGCCCGCCTTCAAGCTCGCAGTTTTCGGCTACATGATGAACTCAATAATACGCATTTCGCTCTTCTGCGAGGCGGGACACAGACTGCGCAAAGAGGTAAACAGCAAATAATAATAATACTCCTTCACATTTCTCCGCCGTTTCCCAAGAGAAAACAAACACAATTTTCCCATACAGTGCCCTCTTGAATTATTCACGCGTCTCTGCAATTCGAGCAGGGTCTGGCGATCTGCGACGTGATTTACAAGGCGCCGATTTTGCGCTCCACGCCCAGCCTCGGACTCGCCCTGCACTCGGTCGCCCTGGACTGCCAGAGGTCGTTCGTCGCCCGCGGCGGCCCCTTTTTCACCCTCTCGGTCGAGTTTTTCACTTCGGTGGCAGGCGCTGTGCTCACCTACTTTGTTGTCTTGATTCAATTTAAGTGAACGAATGAGTGGCTTTTAATAAAGAGAGCTACAATTAGCCCGAATTTCCGTCCTCGATTTTCAGATCCAGCGCCTGTCGCTAGGCAACCTGCTGGTCGCGCCAGAGACCAACAGGTTGCATAATTTCCTGAGATTATTTGTGAGCTCTTATGGGTATTGTGTACCTGGCTGGAGCTCGCTAGAGAGTATGAAAATACCTGGAAGAGAGTGCTTCTCTTTGATATGTATGCAAATTGGAAAATGGACCTTTCGGTATCTGCTATTGACGGGGGCTGTGGTTTCTATCCAAAATATATTAATATATTGTTGGTTTAAATAAGTGCTGTCAAAACCACTCAAAATTTTATAAATAAAAATGGATCCAAACATAAAAAGAATAGATGTAACTTTCAAAAAAATTTTGTTTTAATAATTGAGATTGCAGACTGGTAAAAAATCTACAGATTTTCTATCTCAATTTTAAAAAACTGGCAGACAAGCTGGTTTTTTAAATTTCGCTCTTTTGTTGATATGAGTTCAGACTATAAAAGGCGTATGTTTGCTTGCTTGCACCAAAAAATAATAAGCTAATATAAAAAAAACGGTACTTACCTCAGAGACTTGCTGACAAATGCCCATAACACTCGCTGAAGTTGAACGATGAATTGCAATTCTTGCTGATGCTTAACTCTTTTTTTAGTTCAAAGTCGCTTCCTGCTTGTCGTGGTATTTTCACTAGCGTCTGTGAAAAAAAAAAATAAAGCTAATTTAATTAATTTACAATCGTTTCTGTTTCAATTTCTACACAATTAATTATATTTCAAGAATTGTCGCAAACATGAAAAAATATATTCCTAATGTTCACCCCTCTCTGGAGCGCAATTGGTGTCAGCATGACCCATGTACGTGTTATTATTTTCATTGTGAGGTTCAAACGACGTGAATTAATACATAAATTGCCATGCTCGTTATACGCTCAATGAGATGCATTCAGAGGTCATTCAACGACCGCATAAATGACCAGCTTATCAGTGATAAGAGGATTTTTATTTTTTATTTTAAAATGAACTGAGCATCAATTTTAATTGAATTCTATATTTGGTGCGCTTGCATGAAAAAACAAGGAGATATATTGAAAAAGAAAAAAAGGGATCTTCGCGGAAGCCAGACATGCACTCGGCATGCAAAGTGGAGTATGTAGATTTTTTTTTAATTCAATGCGAGCTGCCAAGACTGTTCAGCGTGATAACCCCGAGTGGCCGCCGAGAACAAGGTTGATTTCGCCCATGCATCAGACCATCCGCACCACGACGAGGCGAGATGATCGAACCGGCGGCTCATTCAACTTATGGCTTTCTGAGCGGGTGAGTTCGAGTGGCCGTTTTGTAATTAATCAGTTGGCGGTGCACAGGTGGGCTGATTCTTAAGATAAAAAAAATAATCAGTCGGTATAATCATTGGTCACGTTTGAACGAAATTTTCAAAGCCCAGTCTCTATGAGAAAAAACATGTTATTTTTATTATTGGCTGTAATTAAAGTTTGAATATAATAATATGTAATTCCTATAATTATAAAATTAATTTTTTTTTTATAAAAGCAATCGGTGAGCAAAATTAAGCACGTGTGTAAAAATGTGATTTTAGGTGAATAATTAATTAAGTGATTATATTTTTGTCCTAATATTTTTGTAACATTTTAAGCCGTCTTGAGTAAATTTTTTTATCAGGTGATTTTTATGAAAATATGTATTTCATTCTAGATTCTAGAGAATATTTTATAATTTAAAATGAATAAAAAAGATGAATGATTTAAAACAGGAACATTTAGGAGGATAAATTATAGTTTGTTATTCTCTCTAGTTAATGAAATAAAATTAAATTATTGTTAATCAAGTATTCAAATTTAGGTGATTCTAAACTCAAATTTTAGATGAAAATTTTATTTTTTTTACACATAATTAAAACGTTTATTTTCAATAAATTAAATTTTATCCTAACTCAATTAAAACAACAAGTAAGGTCCATATATTCATGAATTTTAAAATTTTATTATTATTAATTCACTTCCGACTTTTCGTCAGTTTAAGCCATCGATTTTTAGCTTTTCACATCCTCTGCAAAATAAATCATCACACATTTTTCTTTCTTTCTATTTTAATTTTATTAAAATAAAATAAAGCAAATGAATTAATTATCATTGCGCTTCAAAGGCGCACGTGCCAATCGCTATTATTATTTACACGAAATGCCAAAGTTTACTGGCCGCGATCCATTGTTAGCCTCGCACACCCTTGATTAAACGATTCTGTGCAGCGTCTTCGTCGAGCAACGCAAAATGAGCTTCAAGGGGGAAGGCCTGAAGCACCACTGCCTGACATTTTTCCACGGCTCCGTGGTCACTTACTATGCCCTCGTGGACTTTCACATGGCCCTGGCCAACTACGAAATTTATCAGACCGACCACCCCGTCACAAAGATGTGGCTCGGAGGCGCCACCCAGTTTTACACAACTTGGAATCAGGTTAGGCAATAATTTTATCTTTGTTTTTAATCAACATCAATTAACCCAATTAGTGCTTAATTTGAAAACAAGGAAGAAAATAGATTTTAATAAATTGAAGGAAGGCAAAGTGAAAAAAAAATAAGGTCAATTTTTTTCAGTTTGGGTGTTAAATTTTTATTAATATATTAAAACATTTTCATAAAAATTATTTTGATGTCTGAACTTTGTTAGATAATTAAAATTTATTTCGCCCACAGGTGTTCCATCAACTCTACTTTGTTCTCAGTCTGATTCAAGACATCCTGACCTACTCAACAAACAATGAACACATCAAGTTCTGCTCGTGGTTCGACTCGATTAAATACAAATTCTTCATACCCATAATGCTCCCCTCGACCTTTGTAAGTTTTTAAACACTCTTTTGAAAACAGATTTATTTTTTCCTCTCGTTGAAACAGTTATTTTGATCGCTTGGCAAATATTTTTCAATGAGTGGAAAAAGTTTGATTTTGTTTGAAAAAGTTTCTTCCAAAAATAAAACTTGTTGAAAAAACAAATTAATATTTAGTTCTCATACAGATGACGACGATAAACTTTTGGAGCATTTACTGGATCGCCCCGCACCTGATGTTGGCCGATTTGATAGAATTCATCCCGCCGTGGCTGAACCACGCGGTGCACACTTTTGTCACCCCGATCATAATTGCAGAATTTATAATCACCTCGCACGGAATTCCGAGTTGGTGGAAAGGTTTCAAATACGTCACGATCTTGATGGCCGCCTATGCTGGATGGTAGATTTTTTTTGTAATTTTAAAATTAATTTCTAATAAAATTTTATTTTTAGGATTTACCCCTTGGGATATTTCCTAGGACAGTGGCCATATCCGTTCCTCGAAGTTTTCAACTTGACGCAGCACATTTTTTTCTGCCCTACCATGTTCATTCACGGCTACTTCTGGTACATCATATTTAGATACGCGGAACAGCATCTTTACGGTGGGTGAAATTTACAAATAATATAAATTCTTTTTACTATTTCCATTTTTTACTTTTGCAGGCGAGTACTCGACAAGGAACTCACCTGAGAAGAAAGGAGCTTAAAGTCTGAACCCACTTTACAAATTTTTACTCAAACAAAATATAAAAATATAATTTTTTTAAGCTGTCAATATACTTCAAATGCCGATATTATATTAATATATTAATCGCTGGTCGAAATAAAAATTTTAATTAAAATGGTCGTGCACGTTTTTACTTAGCCAAGGTTTTTTTTATCGCTGAGTGACACAATTCAGGCTCCATATCTGCCCGCCTATTTTTATCGAAGCGAGCCGAATGAAGCCCACGAGGCATCTTGCGTTCATATTTAGTCGAGCCATCGTCAATCAAAGATGTGGATTCTAACATTGAGTCTTGTTACCATCGTCTTCTTCCTCATTTACCGCTGGTTAACATCAGTCAACAACTACTGGCGGGACAAAGGAATACCCTTTGTCAAACCGGTGCCTATTTTCGGCTCCATGTTCCCAATAGTGGCTGGAAAGAAGTCTTTTGCAGACCTTTTAGAGGTAAAACATTTATCAAAATTTATATATAGTTATGTATGTTTTTTTTTTTTTAATTTACAGGTGCAATATGCAGAAATTAAAGCCAGCGGAAAAGGGTATGGTGGAATCTACGAATTTATGACTCCGACAATAATGGTGGTTGACCCTGAAATCATCAGGAAGGTCACTGTCAAGGATTTCGAGCACTTTGCCGAAAGACGCACGCCAGACATGGCAGATGAGTAAGCACAATTCCTCAGTTAACGTGCATTCAACTGGTATTTACTTTTGATAGAAGAAAAACGTCAAATAAAAAGTGACCTTCAACTCTTTTTTAATTGTATGCAAATGTGCATCTTTTGAAAAGAACTGTGTGGGCGAAGAGAGAATAGGGATCAATTTAATTTGATGACAATATAATAGAAGAAAACGTATTCTATATTTTATAAGTAAAAATTTGGAAAGTGTATCTCTATTGTTGGAATTATCGCGGTAAAAAAAAATATTTTAATTATTTTATAAAAAAAATCACATTTTTTTTCTTTTTTTATTTGCTGACGCTCACAATCAGATTGCACTCACGCTGAGTTTGCGTGCGCGCTGAAAGCGCTATTTTTTTTTTTTATATTTGTAAAAGGTAAAAAACAAAATTTGGAAAAATATTGCTTGCATGGGTTCAATGTTTGCCACATTACTCAGGTTAAGAAAAAGTTATCCCAAATGGATTGGAGACAAAAAAAATTAATCACGGGATCAAAGAATATTTTTTCCAGGACAACCAGATAAAATTAATCTCCCTACGGATTCATCCAGGGATAACTTAATTAACGTGAGAACTAATTTAAGAGAATAGCGCCCATTATATTTTAATTTGTTACTATTTAAACTTTATAAAGATCAATTTTCGTCTTAAAAAAATTTTATCGCTATCAGATTCACTATCTTTTTGAAGGATGCATTTTTATTAAATTTTAATAAGAAATACTATTGAGAATGAGGTAATAATATTATTTAGTTTATTATTTTAATTACAATTTATTTTGCACTTTGCAGCACCGACCCATTATTTCATAGATCTTTGGTGAGTTTGAGGAGCGACGAGTGGAAGGAGATGCGCAATATTCTCAGCCCTGCATTCACGACCAGCAAATTACGAGGAATGTTTCCGCTCGTTTCAAAATGCTCGCGGGAATTTGCAAAATCTCTGGAAAAATACGCGGAAAGCGGCGAGCCCGTGGAGATGAACAAACTTTTCAACCGGATGGCGAACGACGTGATAGGAAGTGTCGCCTTCGGACACGAAAGCCGCGCCATCGAGGACGAGAAAGACGAGTTCTTTATTATGGGTCAGCGGTTGAAAAACTTTTCCGGCCTGCGGTACTTCATCGTGGTCGGTTACATGCTTTTTCCGAAGCTGATGAAACTGCTCGGCATCTCTTTCACGCCAAAAGATATCAGCGTCTACTTCAGGCGGCTTATCATTGGCACCATGGAGATGAGAGATAAGTTCGACTTGGTAGGCATTCATTGAGCGATTTTATGAAATTGTAAATCTTTCTGCTCTTGATTAATCAATAATTTTATTTTTTATATCAGTATATGCAGTTTTTTAGAATTGACTTTTTATCAAAAATATCTTAATTCTTTGAAAAGATTTATTTTATCGTTTTAATTCATTTGAAGAAACAAATATATTTTACCTATTTTACTATAAAATAAAAAATTTTAATTTTTACATATATCCAAACATAATATATTGATTAAAATTTTTTGTATTGACCGAGAAGAATAAATAATAATATAATAATTCAAATTTTAATCCAAAAAAAATATCTTAAAATTTTAGTGTACATAAAATCATGTCCTCAGATAAATTTAATTTATTGCAATATAAATTATGGCATATAATACAATGTTTGTTATTTTAACGCTAGAGTCGGCCTGACATGCTCCAATTGCTGATGGCAGCTCAAAAAGGGGGCATCAAAAGAGAAGAAGGAGACGAATTTGACACTGGAACTGTCGGAGAAGATTTGAATGCAAATTCCGAGCACCAGAGAGTATTTTCAGCACCCAAAACAGATTGGAACATCAGAAGTAAAGCTGATATAGCATTGAAAATCTACTTGATATTAATTTACTAGTCATTTCAAAGGAAATATCACGGATGTGGACATTGCAGCGCAAGCGTTTATCTTCTTCCTTGCTGGGTACGACACCGTGTCTAGTGTGCTCAGTTTCGCGGCGCATTTGCTCGCATGCCACCCTGAAGTGCAGGAAAAGCTACTTGCAGAAATAAAAATACAAAATGAAGTCACTTACGACTCAATCAGAAGCATGCGATATCTAGACATGATCTTAAGCGGTAAAAATTTTAATAAATTTTAAACATTTAATTATAATTCCTTTATAGAAACCCTTCGATTATACCCCCCAGCAGTATTCTCAGATAGAAAATGCACAAAAAATTACAATTTTCCGGACTCGGATTTTGTCATGCAAAAGGGACAGGGAATCGTTTTTCCTATTTACGCTCTGCACAGAGATCCGGAATATTTCGCAAACCCGGACAAATTCGACCCTGAGAGATTCAATGACGAGAACAGGAGTTCGATTCGACCCTACACGTATTTGCCTTTTGGCTCCGGCCCTCATAATTGTATAGGTATAAATCAATGAAACTTAGAAGTCGGAAACTCCAACTAGTTTGATGTTGCAGGGATGAGGTTCGCATTGCTGGAGGCGAAAGTGTGTTTAGTGCATTTGGTCGAAAATTTTGAGCTGCAAGTTTGCTCAAAAACAGAAATCCCTTTGAGATTATCAACGAAGACGTTTCAAATGATAACCGATAACGGCTTTTGGCTCAATTTGAGACCGAGAGGCAAATAAAAAGCAATTTCATTAAATAAAAATATGATATATAATAATACAAAATTTACATTTTATACATTATTAGCCCTTCCTTTAAAACTCTAATTCAATTTTCAAATTAAGCGAAAGAAGAAGGATTATTTTACTTCCTGAAAGTCGGTTTTTTTTCTTGCCTAAGTTACTTCAATTAAAGCTGCAACTTTAAAAATTTCATGGGTATCTAATAAAAATAATTTAATACAACGTAAGTAAGATAATTATAATAAATTGTGGAAAAAATTTTTCTTCAATTTTCAACTTTTATTCAATTCTAAGCATTTCAATGAACAACAATGAACTCAAAAATTAAAATGTAATGAAAAATAAATTGTTCCACAGGAGTAATAAAAAAAACTGATTGAAACGGGCAAAATAAAAGTTTTTTGAAATTGTAGTGCTTCAAGCTTCAACCATGCAATAGTTCGTATATGACAAATAATACAGTCTTTAATGTTGACGATAAGATTGCACGTGGGAAGGTTTTGTGAACTTATAAGCAAAGATTTATTAACTATGGTGCAATTTTCTCTTATCAGATCAATATCGGCTCAAAGTATAAAAGATTCGACAGATTAAAAAATTCCCCAGTTTTGCACTCGGCGGGACACTTGCAAGTCAAGTAAGCAAGTTCAAATTTTTATTCTTTCTTTTATCTTGCTTAAAGCTTATTGAAATATAAATTGATCTGAGCTGCATTTGGCCACTTTACTCTCTCATCCGGTGCCGGCAGCAAATTTTTGACGCGCATATTCTCCGGCTCCAGCGCTCATTGCCATTGGCGAGAACTCAAGGTTGTGCGTATTAAAAAACTGCGAATGTTTATTATACGAGCTGCGCGGCGGTGATGCAATTATTGTGTCACTCCTAATTCGGCCGGCGAACCAACTCTCACGCACGCGCCAGCCAGTCAGTTTGTGTGCAGCGGGCCGTGCGTTTGCATATAGGGCTCCAGTTGAAAGTGATCTCTTTTAATTTTTGTAACAAAGTATGTAAATTTTTCTTTGGTGATAATTATTTGCTATTTTTTTACGAATCTTATTCTTGGTTTATTTTCATCAGCAAGGATTTTCTAAAACACTAAAAGGTAATGGAAAAATGTGTTTTTTTTGTTAGACCCAATGTAGCTTTCACCTGTTTGATACGCACATTAAACAAGTTTTAATATAATTTCATTGCATTAAAATAAGGCCATGCTTTTCTTTGATACAATTTACGTTTAGTATATATTCATATGCTGAATGCTTATTTAAGGACCGTTTCGCCAAATGAGTAACTTAATAAAAACGATAAACTCTTCCTGTTATTGAAATGATTATATGTAAATAAATAGAGCAAGTTGATTTTTTTTAATTGATTTTTAAATTTTTATTTTCATCTTACTCAAAGTGGAGGAAAGTATATGTGTTTTTATCTTTATGTGGTTGAAACTGCTCCAATCCAATCAATGTTTTGAGAAATTTCGTTTTTACAAGAAACTGCAACTGAATTTTGTTTCATTCTTCACGAATCAGCCAAACAATAAACACTTTTTTATTGCACAATGTAAAGAAATGGCACAAAGTTCACAAAAAAGAAAGAGACAGGTACAAAAATTGACCGCAAAGTTATTTAGAAAAATTTATTTTCATTTATAACAATCAATTTTAATTAGCATTTGATTTGTATTTATTTTCACTGTTAATATTTACAGAAAATGCTTGATTTCTGGACGACCATAGCCCTGGTAGGGGCTGCCCTAGCGCTTATCTACGCCTACGCGGTCAGAAACAATGATTACTGGGCGCGCCGCGGTATCCCTTTCATCAAGCCGGTGCCATTTTTTGGGAATATGGCATCAACCGTTTTCAAAACACGATCTTTTGCTGACGTTTTTTGTGTAATTTTACGGGAGGAAATATTTTGAGCAAAATACAAAGCAGGAAATTTTAGGAAAACTACATGCAATTGAAACCAAACGGTTACGGAGGAATGTTCGAGTTCATGAGTCCAACGCTTATGGTTACTTCGCCCGAGCTGATCCGCGACATGACCGTCAAAAACTTTGATTTCTTCCATGACAGGAGAATGATTGTGTCAAAAGAGTGAGTTTTTGGGTTTCAATTAAGTTAAATAAAAAATCTCAAGAATCAGATTTGCAAACAATTTTTTATGTTTTTATCTTTTTCTGAAGGTTTATTTGATTTTTCAGTACCGATCCACTTTTTGCCCGGTCTTTGCCTGGTCTTAAGGGTGACGAGTGGCGCGAAATGCGCAACAAGTTGAGCCCCGCGTTCACCGCGAGCAAGCTCAAGGGAATGTTCCCTCACATCAGTAAGTGCGCCGGTCAATTCGCCAAGTTCTTGGTGTCCAGGGAAGGTGCCAAGACTGAGCCGATTGAGTTCAAAAGCACCTTCACCAGGATGACCAACGACGTGATCGCCACCACGGCATTCGGGGTTGAAACCAACGCAGTGCAAAACCCTGACGAGAAATTCTACAAATTCGCACAAATTATGACGGATTTCGGCGCCCTGAGGAGTTTGATTGCCCTCGGATTCATGGTTTTCCCAAAACTGATGGCGGCCGTCGGTCTTTCTTTCACGCCTAAAGAGGTGACCAACTATTTCCAGCAGCTCATCAAAGGCACCATGGATTTTAGGCAGAAGAAAAATATTGTAAGAAAAATGTAAAATATTATATGACTTTTGTTGAAATTAATTTACATGAACGTTTCAAATTAAAATTATTATTAAATTTTAAGTCGCGGCCAGACATGCTGCAGCTCCTGATGGCTGCCCAGAAAGGCAACCTGAAGAAGGAAGCTGACGAAGATGTTGGAACGATTGGCGAAGATTCTGCTGATTCTGAATTGCACAAAAAACATATGGCTGCAAAGAAAACTGACTCAATCCGTAATTTAAAAAAATTTATTATTTTTTTCTCCTTTTTTTTAATTTTTGTGCTTTCTTTAAGAAATTACTGATGAGGATATCGCGGCTCAGGCGTTCATTTTCTTCTTTGCTGGATACGAAACCGTGGCTACTTTATTGGCTTTTGCAGCACACGAGCTGGCTGAAAACCCTGAGGTGCAGGAGCAATTAAGGGACGAGATCGATGCTGCTCTTAGCGAAGGACCATTGTCTTACGAGTCGGTCATAGGAATGAAGTATTTGGATATGGTTGTGTCAGGTAATATAATTTTATGGTTAAATTTATTTATAAAATGTAAAAAATACAATTTCATATTAATTTTACTGTTGCAAAAAACTGTGTTTTTAAACAAATTATTAGAAAATGTAAGGTTAACACAAAAATTTTCATAAAAAATTTATATTGTTTTCCAAATTTAACATTATTTATTATTGAAATATTTAGTTTATTTTATTTCTAATATAAAAAAATTGATTATTTTTCAACAAAATTTTTACTGATGAATCTAAAACTGCTACTTACAAACTTATATTAATGAAATTAAAATAAAAAAGCAGTTTCATATTTTAATATTAGAAAAAATAAAAGAAGTAATTATTCATAATCTCATAGAAAAATTATGCTGCATATTTTATTTTGATTATAATATAACTATAAAGCAATAAAGAAATAATATAAAAAACAAAAAAGAATTAAAGTGTAAATTGGAAATTTAATGCTTTCAGAATCACTCAGAAAATATCCCCCTGCAGTAGGAACTGACAGAACTTGTATCAAGAACTACAAAGTTCCTGGAACGGACAGTATTATTGAAGCCGGCACCACCCTTTCCGTTCCCATATACCCACTTCACAGAGACCCCGAGTACTTCCCCGACCCTGAAAAGTTTGACCCAGAAAGGTTCAGTGAGGAGAACAAGGCCAACATCAAGCCCTACACTTATTTGCCATTTGGCGTCGGCCCACACAACTGCATAGGTTTGCGTTCTTAATTGCCAATAAATGAGCAAAAATAAAAGAAAATTTTTAGGAATGAGATTTGCCCTGCTGGAAGTGAAATTGTGCATAATCCACTTGCTGGCTACCTGCAACTTGCGAGTGTGCGCCAAAACCGAGATTCCTTTGAAACTGTCTAAGAAGTCTTTCGCCATGACCACTGATCATGGATTCTGGCTGCTCGCGATTCCTAGAGAAAATCCAACCTTGAAAGTCTAAAACAAATACCTGTTTTTTCCATGTAAAATTATTTACTCACTTATATTTTTTGTATTTTGTGTTGCCAAAAATAAAATACTTTTAACTAAGTTTCGAAAATTCTTAGCTTTCATTTATAATCAACCACTTATAACATAGATTGACAGATTTTCTTTTTCTTTTCTGTAAGCATTCTTGAAAATACAGAGTGATTCAGCTTATAAAACAAAAGCAAAAGTATTTTTTGTCGATAAGATAAAATTGAGCGTGGGCAAGTTTTGTGAACTTTTTATCTAATTGTGAAGGGCAAAAACGGTCCAGCTTTTTGTTATCTTATTTGAAATTAAGCTATAGCTTGCTTTATTTGATTAGCGGCAGTTTTTCTAGGTTGGTAAAAAATTATATTTATTACTATTCCAATCCTCCACAAATTTTAGAAATAAGTGTATATGGCTGGCCGTGCGCGCTTTTGACCGACATGCTATGGTCAACATGGGAGTTTCGGTCAAAAGCGCGCGACGCAAGCGATATTTACAAGTACATTTAATTACAAAAGCTGGATTTTTGCAGAAAATGTTAGATTGCTGGACGACCATAGCCCTGGTAGGGGCCAGCCTAGCGCTGTTCTATGCCTATGTGGTCAGGAACAACGATCACTGGGAGCGCCGAGGAATCCCATTCATTAAACCAGTGCCATTTTTTGGAAATACGGCGGCTGCGGTTTTCAAAACTCATTCATTTGCTGAATTGTTTTATGTAAGTTCTCTGTTTTAATTTTATAGTGAATTAAACTTTAAAATTTTTTTTTAGATCAACTACATGAAACTGAAACTAAGCGGTTTTGGAGGAATGTTTGAATTTATGAATCCGACAATATTGGTCACCTCACCAGAATTGATTCGTGACATAGCAGTCAAAAATTTTGATTTATTCCATGACAGGAGAATGGTCATCTCAACAGAGTAAGCATAAAATTTTGATTTTACAAAAAAACAAATCAAATTAATCAAGTTGCTTTAAATTAAATAAAAAAAATATAGTGATATCAATTATCAGGATTTTCAATTTAAGTCAAAGATGTTTAATTTAATATCAAACAAAAATTAATTAAAATTTCAGTACCGATCCTCTTTTTGCCGGATCTCTTGTTGGTTTAAAGGGTGACGAGTGGCGCGAAATGCGCAACAAGTTGAGCCCCGCGTTCACCGCAAGCAAGCTCAAGGGAATGTTTCCTCACATCAGCAAGTGCGCCGGTCAATTCGCCAAGTTCTTGGTGACCAGGGAAGATGCCAAGACGGAGCCAATTGAGTTCAAGAACACCTTTACCAGAATGACCAATGACGTTATCGCCACTACTGCTTTTGGCGTGGAGACGAACGCCGTCCAAAACCCCGAGGAAAAATTTTACACTTCAGCCCAAACTTTGACTTATTTTGGTGGCATAAGAGGCCTGATTGCTCTCGGCTTCATGGTGTTTCCAAAACTGATGAAAGCCATCGGCCAGTCTTTTATACCCAAGGAGCCGAGCAAATATTTCCAGCAGCTCATCAAAGGTACCATTGAGTACAGGAGAAATAAAAACATTGTAAGAAAATTATTGCAATAATTAAAAATTTAATTGGAATTTTTTAATTTTAAAATTTCAAGTCTCGGCAAGACATGCTGCAGCTCCTGATAGCGGCCCAGAAAGGAAATCTAAAAAAGGAAGCAAACGAGGAGGTCGGAACGATTGGCGAGGATTCTGCCGATTTTGAGTTGCACAAAAGACACATGGCGGCCAAGAAGAACGATTCCATGCGTTAGTAATTCATTTCATATTTTTAAAGGTTGCTCTGCAATTATTCTGTCTTTCAGAAATTACGGATGATGACATTACGGCCCAAGCATTCATTTTCTTTTTTGCGGGATTTGAAACGGTATCGACGGTTTTGAGTTTCTTGACTCACGAGTTGGCGGTGAATCCCGAAATTCAGGACAGACTGAGGGAAGAAATCGACGAAGCCCTCGTTAAAGGTCCATTGTGCTACGAATCAGTGATGGGAATGAAATATTTGGACTTGGTTATTTCAGGTAAAAAATGAAGAATAAATTATCAACTGTGCACAGACATTAATATACCTTAATTGTTTCAAATATTTAAAATAAAAATCTATACATTTTTAGAAACTCTTCGAAAGCACCCCCCTGCAGTGGTAACGGACAGGGTGTGCATGAAAAACTACAAAGTTCTTGGAAGTGATAAGATAATTGAGGCCGGAACTGTCGTCTCCATAGGAATCTACCCTCTTCACAGAGACCCAGAGTATTTCCCAGACCCTGACAAATTTGACCCAGAAAGGTTCAATGAGGAAAACAAAGCCAAAATCAAGCCCTATACCTATCTGCCTTTTGGTGTCGGCCCACGCAACTGCATTGGTATGTAAATTAAAATTTAATTTGTGTAATTAAATCCACTGTTAACCATATAGGAATGAGATTTGCATTGCTGGAGGTGAAACTGTGCGTCGTCCACTTGTTGGCAACTTGCAATTTGAGAGTTTGTTCCAAAACCCAAATCCCTTTGAAACTCTCAAAGAAGTCATTTGCTATGGACGCTGAGAGGGGATTCTGGTTGCTCGCGATTCCAAGAGAAAAACCTACTTTGAAAATCTAAGCATTTTCATTCTTTTACGTTTAAAAATAAACTCTAAAAAATAGAGAGATTACATTTTGTTGAGAATTATAAGTATTAAAAAAACTCATGTTTTAATTTCAACTGGGGACATTATGATGGTACCCTTTCAACTGTATCATTTTATTTTTTAAATTGCGTTCTTTATTATCATTCACTAAATATTTGTAATTAATTAAAGTAACCATTTTGAAATAAATCTCTAATCAAGCGATTATTTAAAATATTTATAATCCATCGTGTGACCTTAAGCGAGAGAATGTAAGTCATATTTGCAGTCAGTGGACGACTATTGTGAGCTAAATTTTTTTATCATACAATTCAAGCAATGACAAATGAGGTCTTTTCGCAAAATCTTTGTTAGTGACATGGCGCCTTTTTGGGGCCATCAAATAATGCAACGTTTCCCTGGAAAGAATAGTATTTCTATGTTGAATTGTTGTAACCATTTGTACAAATAAACATGAATAATTCACTTTTATAATTGTAACAAATAAATTTCATTAATTAAGACGTTTTCAAAAGTATATTTGCTAACCTTAAGTCTCCGCAGGTATAGACTTTTTGTCGTTAGCTTTTTATTATCAATTCTCCCATTGGCTACGAGCAGACGAGATGAAGAATATTAATTTAATTTTTACAACTTTTCTTTATGCTCATTTCGCAGAGGATTTGTTTCTTCTCCAGGGTCCCGTCTTTAGAAGTCACCTGCTAGGTGCCAAAATTTAAATTCGGATATCGAAAATAGACAATTTTTAAAGGATACTATTGAAAAAGTATTTTTACAACGTTTTTAAGGAATGAGGTTTGCACTACTTGAGGCAAAACTGTGCGTCGTCCACTTGCTGGCCACCTGCAACTTGAGAGTGTGCGCCAGAACGGAAATCCCACTGCAACTTTCGCGAAAGACGTTCTCCATGACCACCGATAATGGATTCTGGTTGCTCGCAATCCCCAGAGAAAAACCAACTTTGAAAGTTTAAAAAAAGCGTTATTAAAATCTAGTATCAAAATTTCTTTGCGACATAATAAAAAATAATAATTTGAATTGCATAAATGTGTATTTTTTTAATTAGTATCATTAGGATTTGTTTTTCTATGCAAAATATCTTGAAGGTCACCTTCGATTAAAATAATCTAATCGAGCAAATATGTAAGTCAAATCAGTCTCCAACTTGTAAGTAATAATTCCTGAGAGATTAAGCGGCGTTCATCAGGAGCGAAACGTTTTGAGTGGCGCTCGATATGCGCGAGCAGAACGCGAAACGCCGATTAAAAAAAGTGTCCAGATGGCGATAAACGGCGTTTGTTATATTCGGTCAACAAGTCTTGTTGTATTCGGTCGCGGATAGAGTCGAGTGCAGTTCAGGAGAAACGCTCGCTTACGCCACAACGACGCCGATTTGCATATTAAGCTAAACAAAAAGAACAAAGGCGGCCGATTGAAGAAATTCCCGGGGCTCCGAAAAGCCCTCGCGTAAGTGAAATGAATAGCTTCAGTTTTATTCCAGTCTTTAATTATAGTAACGGGTAATATTATATTAGTGTTTAATTGGAGTATTATTTTCTGGAAATTTCAAACAGCGAAGAATTTAGAATAAAAAAAATTATTATAATAATAATAGTAAAAAAATTAAAATACTTTAAAGAGAGAGTAATTATTATATTATATCATTTTGGGACATTTCCATTAGATTCGTGATAATTTGTTTGATAAAAACTTTGGCGAAGTGTAATATGGTTCATTGTGTAGAAGTTTATCATAAATTTTTTTTTAATCTTTAAAATTTTTACTCGTTAGTCTTTTCAATAGACTTATCTTGAATATTGTTAATTAATTAACAACACTAACAATAAGTTTGATATTTATTATGAATATCTTTGAAAACTCTCCATACAGTTTTAATTTCCAATTAAGTTTCTACGCAATGTTTCAGCGCCTAATTATTTAAAAAAGATATGCAATATTGCATTATTTTTTTCTTGTTTTAAAATCTCAATAATTATTATTATTTGTTAAAGTATTTGAAATTCCCTAACAAAAGTGAAGACAAATATTGATAAAAATTAAAAAAACAACAATTGTCTTACCGTAAATCAATGGGAGCATTTTCAGTCGTTGCGATGAAATGTTTGTCCAAGACTTCACGCACACGTTGCACATGAATTGTGTTTGTTTTACTCTCGAGAGCGATAAAAAGCACCTCTGCTCCAGACGCATCCTACCTTCTCACTGAATTCGTCGGCCACAGCCAACGAGCAAGGATGGATGAGGAGTGCAGCGCGAACTCGCTGGAGAGACACAAGTTCGGCTGGGAGGACTACTTGGTGTTCGCGGCCGTGCTCGCCGTGTCCATGGGCATCGGCGTCTTCTACGGTTGCTTCAAGGGCAAGCAGAAAACGGCCTCGGAATTCTTGATGGGCAACAGGCAGATGAATTTCTGGACGCTCGGCGCCTCACTGACTGTCGGGTGGGTACAATTTCACTTGCTCAGCAATTCGCAGACGCTGATTGGATGATTCATCCTTGCGCTATTTGTAGAAGCAGAAATTTTTTGCCAGAGAAGGGAGAGACGAAATTTGGTTTATATTATAGTGGCGGAAAAAGTCTATGGTCTTATGTAACTTTAATATTAAGACTTATTTAAAAAATAATTTGGCTAATTCAAATAATATAATAGTATTAAATATGGATAAATATTTAAATAAATAATAAATTATGTTTCTTTTCACTTATTTTAGCAGTTAAAAAGTCCCTCACATGATAATTTTATTAACTTCAATTCGATTTCATAAACAATTTTTAATTTAGTCAAGAATAAAAATCATTTGCATCAGATTTGCAAAGAGAGTCTTTAATTTAATACACAAATAATTATTAATTACAGTTCCTCTAAGACTTAATGAATTCCTATTTTTGTTTTTATGTCATAATTAGATTTACATCTGCAATCGCCCTGCTTGGGAACACAGCCGAAATGTACAACTTTGGCACACAATACTCACTAACTTTGATCTCGTTTCTAATAATGGTACCCGTAACTTCGTTCCTGTATCTGCCCACTTTTCGTGGATTAGGAATCACTTCAATCTATGAGGTTTGATTGAATAATTAATTTATTGTGTACTAATAAAAAATCATTTCTAGTATTTTGACAGGAGGTTTTGCAACAAAACAAGGCTGCTCATGTCCTCTCTTTTTGTCGTACAATCAGTGAGTTTAAATTAAATATAATTTTTTATATAATTTAAATTATTTTCTCAATTAAGCTACTCTACTTGTCAGTGGTTGTTTACGCCCCTGCACTTGCACTGCGGCAAGGTAAATTATTAAAGACAGTTCAAAAGTAAATTATGAACTTTGTTTAAAATTTATAGTGACTGGATTTAATGTAATTGCGGCGGCCGCGTTGATTTTCACTGTCTGCGTCATCTACTCATCACTAGTAATTAATTAATATTTATATATTTTGCCCTTTAATGTAAGATTTAAATTAAAAGGGTGGAATAAAAGCTGTTGTGTGGAGTGACACGTTCCAGTTCACAATTATAGTGGCAGCTTTGCTGATGGTGGTTATTCGAGGAGCAATGCTCGATGGTGGTCCAGCGGAAATTTGGCAAGACGCCTATGAATCTGGACGCATTGAATTCTTAAAGTAAGTTGACTGAATAATAAAATTGCTGAAATTTGAAATAAAAATCAGCAGGCTTTTTAAGAAAGTAATTTTAAAAATTTTTACAAATAATACAAAGAAAAATTTTTTAATCGGTATAAATTTTGTGTCAATTAAAGACATATAACTTTGAGAACTCTGAAAAATTTTACAAATTAAATTATAAGAACTAATTGAAAATAATGCTTGCAGTGTAAATCCAGATCCGAGAATTAGGCACTCTTTTTGGACGGTGATCGTCGGCTCGACTTTTTACTGGTTGGCGATGAATTGCGCCACGCAGTCGTCGGTGCAAAGGCTAATGACTGCGCCCTCAAACAAACACGCCACTTGGTATGACAATAAATTGCTTCAATTGACCTTTTCCTAGCATTTCACACAATCATTAATGCATTCATGATAGATCGGCAACCTCAGCCACATGGACAAAACTTCATTTTGTTAAATTTCGAATTACAGGGCCCTGTGCCTCAGTTCTCTCGGAATGATAGTAATTTACTCAATCACTTTCTACGTGGGCCTCGTCATGTACAACCACTTTCAACACTGCGACCCTCTGCTAAGCAAAGTATAATTAATCTTTAATTGTCTAAAAATTTACATTATCTATAAAAAAAAGATATTTGAGGAGTGTATAGAGCAGAATGAACGAGCTATAAAACATTAATGAAATCTTTTCTTCTTTTTTTTTACTACAAAACAAAAACTATATCAGTAAGGTTACAGAATGCCACCTTAATTCATAAAGCTAGAAAATGCAAGAAAAAAAATTAAGACGAAAGCATACTTTTGCACATAATTTAATTAATTTCAACTTTCAACAAGAAAGTCCAGTTTTTTCAATTCGTCTCATCAAAATTCTGCAGCAAATACTATTTTTATTCAATTTTTATTTTATTGACTTAGCAAGTTGAGGCAACTGACCAGTTGCTGCCCCTCTATGTAATGGAAGTTGCTGGCTCTCTTCCTGGTTTGCCTGGACTTTTTGTTGCCGGCGTTTTCAGCGCTGCTTTGAGGTTTATATTTTAGAGGATAATTTTTAGGCAGAATTATTAACATATAATTTTAGCACTGTGGCGTCAGGACTAAATGCATTGGCTGCGAGCACCCTGCGAGACATCCTTGCCGGAGGTTTTAATTACAAACCAACGGACGCGAAAGGAGCTCTGATTTCTAAAGGGCTCAGTGCTCTTTACGGATTACTCGGCTTTGCGCTCATTTTTCTCGTAATGCAACTCGGAGGCGTTTTGCAAGTAAAAATTAAAAATTATTTAAATATTTTCAAATAAAATTAATTATTTTAGGTGGCTATTAGTCTTAATGGAATGTTGGCCGGAGCTGCTTTGGGAACTTTTACTCTGGGAATGTACATACCTTGGTGCAATCGAACGGTTGGGAAAATTTTTATTAAATTCTGATTTTATCTAATATACTTTAAAATTAGGGTGCGATTGTGGGAACCATAGTGGGGCTAGCCACGTCCTTGTGGTTGTGCATCGGCGCCCAAGTAGCCGCACTGTCCGGCCGATTAGTTCAGGAGAGGAAAATTGTTGGCACTGATTGCAACTGCACCGTCATACTTCCAGAGATACCCAATCCGTATAATTTCTCAAATTGATCCTTTATTATTTTAATGCTAATTTTGGCTCTTTGCAGTGATGAAGTATTCGATGGTTATAGAATATCTTATCTCTATTATTCACCGATCGCGTTCCTAGTGACCATCGTCATTGGTGTTATTGTCAGCGGAATAACTGGGTTCCAAAAGCCAGAGTCACTGGATCCAGAGCTACTTTCCTCTTTAATCAGAGGCAGGGTGAAGCGTCACATCAAAGTATAAAAATAAACTGCTTCGTAAATTATCTGGAATTAATTGTTAATTTTTTAGGAGATTCAGTTAGAGACCTGCACTGAAATTGACGACCAAAAATATTAGTTTTTAAAATAAATCGTATAATTTTTTTACACTTTACGTTGTGAATATAATTTTGTAAATAAAGTTCACGTTAACGATTTTTTTTATTTAATTGTGTTTTATTTTAAATGTATTATGCTTGATACCCAGTAACATTGATGCTTTATCGTATCGAGAAAAGCTAAGTTGAAGATGCGCAATATACACGCTACAATCTGCATAATCACACTCTATTACAAAAATCATCACTTTTCCTATGCGTTTTTTTTTTTCTTACACAATATACAAGTACGAATTTCACCTCTTCTAAAAATCCACTGGTTACATTCAGTTAATTTCTTCTGATTCCGCAACAAATTTGGGCAACATCAAATATTTGTATTTTCTTTACACCTCTGACAGAGGGTTCTGTATTTTGAGCTTAATTCTCACGAAAAATGCAATTTCTGGAATCCGATAAGTCAGGGCTAGCCCTCCTTAATCATTTTTTCTAACTCTACGTACACAGATACAAGTATTTATTTAATTACTTTTCAAAGTTGTGAAAGTAACTTTTATATCTCAATATTTTTCTTCCAAAATACAAATCCCTGCGTACAAAATTCGAGTACAAAAATTTTAATTAGCGAAGGCAGTGACAGTCAAATCTGTGTAATCAAATCGGCTCATTCTCTCTTTAATTGTTTTGGGACAACAACTGCCTTCCTGTATGCAAATGCTTGGTGGAAAGGAATGCCTGACAAAATCCAACATACTTAGGATTGCCGTTCAAAATTTATCAGAAAGCTCAAAAACGGTCCGTAAATGCAAGTACCAAAAGAGTGTGTGTATAGATGTGTGTTGTGTGTGATAGTAATTAATGTTATTTAAGATAATATCATCATGTTTCCAAGCTATAGCCTTATCCACACTAGAGGACTAATCACGTTTACAAAAATGACTTGTGGACTCAATTAATGCAAAATAATAACATGTAGCTTTTTTTAAATATATAAAAGTAAAACCATACACTATGTGTAAATTAAAATGTGCTTACTTTGTGCCAAATGAGATGAGAGAGAGTATAAATATATCTGTATCAAAAGTTTTAAATAAATTATATGGATTAGATCGTTCTCATACAAAAACAAGTACTTTTCAGCCTCAGATTGCGAATTTGCACGGAATTGATTTCAGACACTTAATACTTTAAAACAGGCAAAAATTTGGCTCAATTTGGTCCTCGTGGAGTTTCAAAACGTTTTGAGTTGATTAGTCTAAAAGGAGACTGCTTGTAAGTACTTGTGGCAAATTCAGTTAAAACAGAATAAGTTAAATTTTCGGCCATCAGCAGCTTTGGTTGGATATAATAATTTACTCAGCCATTTTACTAACACGTACGTCCCTTGCTCCTGCCTCCCTTGTTTTAATTGCAAATACTGTTAATGGCTTCTTCTCTCTATGTAACGACTCAACTAATTAGTACTCCCATTTCGTGGCCGTTTCAAAGTCGTTGTCTCCTAGACGGAAGGTTCCATTCTTGTTGGCCTGCAAGTACTCGCCGTTGACTCCCTTGATGCAAATCCTGGTCGGGTCCCGCAGCTCCAGATAGAATCCTTCGGGGGTGTCGGTGTCAGCAGTGACGCTTTCGCCATCGGAGTGCCAGTACTTGCCGTTTTGACCTGCAAACGCGTTACATTATCAGTTAGTAAAAATCTCATTGAACGTTGATGAAGTAGTCTTGAGGTATTTTCGAACCTTTGAAGTAGACGATGCCCTTCTCTCCCCTTTCGACCAAGATCGTCTCGTAAGTGGCTTTATTACACTCCAGCTTGTTAGAAGAAGCGCTCTTGTAACCAACAAAGCCCTGCTCGCATTTCAAAACCAAAATTGGCCTGAAAATAGAAATAAAAATTGGTATTAAATAATTTATTAAAAAAAAAAAAAATCTTGGAAAATTTGGAATTCGGCTCATCCTTGAAGAAAAAACTAAAGATATAAAATACAGCTGACCTGAGCTGACCCTGAAATCTAGGATTTGTTCGATGCTAAATATTGTGGGTAAGAAATATGTACATTTAAAAATTAGGAATATTTTTAAGAAAAATTGCAGATATGCTGTTTTTTTTTAACATTGAAGTCATACATTCATAATAGCATTAACTGCGTTTATTCTATATATTTTCCAAAAAATTACAATTCAATAAAGCAAAAGATTTATTTGGCAAATTCAAAATAATCTGCTGCACTAGCAATCTTTGCTTAGGGTCTTTTTTTATTTATCCAACAAAATTTAACCACAGGTTTTATGTTTTTCTTTTCAATAATTAATTTTTTGTACCTATTGATCAGGTAGAAGAAGTATTTGCAGGTGTCCTCAACCGTGTCGCAGTTGGCGTACAAGTGGCCTGACCTCTTGGTGCCCACATACTTTCCGTTGTTGGCTCGGAAGGCCACGGATCCGTCAGTCTGCCAAGCCAAGTCGAACAGGGCGTTTGAAGACCTGGAGGAAAATCGATTATTATTATTATTATTATACTTCAATTGAGATTCAGGGAGCGATGTTCCTGACTAAAGGGCGCGGTCGGCGACTTGAATGGTTAAAAAAGAAAAGTAAGAGTTTCCTGTCTGGCGAGTAAACAAAAAACACTCTCGTTCTTGTCGTCCGACTATTATTGTCCCCCAGCGCGCCGCCGGAATGCAAATGAGCAAAATCCCAGCGTTTGTCTGAATGAAATGAACCGTGCTTGAAGAAGACGGGCCAGGAAGACATCAATAAAAAAGAGCTCTTGAATAAATGACAGGTGGTGACTCACGGCAACAACCACAACACCTCCCTTTTGTGTGTGCAACTTATCAGATGCAAGAAGAAGAAGGGACATGCTCAGGTGAGCAGTTTATGGTTACGTGCCTTTTGTCTCCGTTGGCTTGGATGCCACCTCCGGTTTCCAGGGTCCAGTAGCGGTCCTTCATGGTCCTGATGTACCAACGCTTGGTGCTCTGGTCGTACTCGAGCTGGAAGCGCTCGTCGTCAGACACCTCGTCTTGATTGGCAGTCACGTCGACTCCTGAGAACAGAGATGTAGAAAAATAAAGTATTTTTGTACATGAAGAGTTCTAAAAATTACTAATAATTTTGACTTTATTTAAATATTCTTAATAATTTTATACTTAAAAATTATATTTTTTATTTTAGAATTTCCAATTTATTGAGGAACAGTGACAGTGACAACAATATTAATTTACATACATGAACTTTTAATTCTTTAGTTTTTAAGTGTTCTTTTCGCCAAATTTTGAAAAAAAAAATTCGCGTTAACTAGTTTGAATTCTGGATGTTTTTGATTACATTATGGGGTAGCGTCAAACTGATTGTGAGTATACCTAATTAAATATTATTCAAACTGAAATGATAAATATCAATTTATTATTATAATTCTTATTTTTTTTTTTGGCCCATTACTGCATGAAGATAAATCTCATTATTTTTATTAAAATAATACAAGATTTTGATTCGAAAGCCAGTAGCTTAATAAAAATGAGATAAATTATATTTCAATTAATTTAATTTTATTAAATTACATTTTCAGATGCTATTCAAAGTTAGTATATTTATCTTCATGAATTGTGGGCACGGCATAGTTAATGCACGTTTTTGAACTTGAATCAAGTTTATAAGGAAGTTGTCGGGGGCTGCATGTAAGTGATACGGCGCTTTTCTGCCGTGTGTTTCGTGATTTATTTGCATGACGACTTCGCAGCACAATAACGAGACCGCATAATTCTCTGTGCAAGACGCGTGGTTTGAAATTTCACGCTGCTCATTTAAACGGCGCGTTGTTCCATTTAATCCCGGTGTTTTTGCTTCAGCATCTTGGATATCTCCATTGTTTGGCAACAAAATATTTATTTTTAAATTGCAATTTGCAAATACACATCCTGCAGTTGGCGAAGGGTGCCTGCGGCGTGTGAAAATTGTTCAATCAACTACACAATGGAGCAACACTATAGGCGCCAAGTTCATTTTCGGTGAGACAAAACATGTGTACCGACTGCAGATTGCGCGCATCATACACATGCTCGCCGGGCTTATTATTTTAATGAGCTGTTAGAGCTGCGCGATCGTGACGCCAGCTTTATTCTCGGAACATCTCCGAAAAGGCGCGCATGATGAGATTTCCTCCTTAATTAGCTAAAAACTATAAGCATAGATCACAGCTTAATAATCGTAGAAGTGGAATTCCTTGGAATTTTTTTTTTGTAATTATTAGGAGTGAATAAGCAGAAATGTAAATTAATCCTACTTTTTATGTACTTAAAATTTAAGAAAACTTTTCTAATCTTGTTAGAAACGACCCGTGAGAAACCTTTACAAAGCAAAAAATATTTCTCTAGCCAGTTGAAAAAAATACAAAAATCTTGGAAAATAGCCATAGATAAACTCGTATGTCTTTTTGCATTTGGGAATCAATTTTCAAACGTTAACAATTAATTTGATATCAAAAATTAGACTTGGGGCAGCTAAAAAATTGAGCAGTTCTGAAAAAAAAGCCCAATCTTTTTTATTAAATTGCTAATCATTCATCATTATTCACAAATAAAGTTAATAGAAAATAAAGATATTCAAAGAAATTACAAATTGTGAAATATGATTTTGATTTTCTTTTTTTTTTAACATTTTTCACTTAATTGTTCCAACTCTTATTCATAGTATTTTTTTTTAATTGAAAACAATTGTCGGTAGGGAAAAATGAAATAGTTTTGCTCAGTTTTGCTAAAACAAATTAAAGAATTTGTAAATAATTCAACATATTCTGGTAAATCACGTTTTTTTGCGGTTCATTTGAAAAAAAAAAAAAAAAAAATGATTTGGAAGCAATTTTTCAGTGCGTATGCTCAGCTACTTTAGAACTCTCTGCTATTTAGGACATCTTGGTTTTGGTTCATTAAATTTTTGTAATTTGAGGCATGGAATCAATTTCACGGTGCTGCAGATTAGCTGAAATAGGCTTTGCATACAAAGCACTCGAGAGCTAATGCACGTACTTGACCTGGAAGTCAAGTTTGCAGTGTCATCAAAAAATATCGTGCGGAGGAGTGCCTCGCTCCTCGGACCCGTCGCACCCGGCAAATGCGGGCAACAACTCCTTCGCAACATCGCCAGTACGTTCACCTAGCGTATAAGATGCTGGAGTGCACACGAACGCCTAAAGTGTACATTAAAATACACATTAGCAGCACATATACCCACATGAAACTGCACGCGCCGATTTTCGGTGCAATGACTTTGGCGACAGACAAAAAAATCACTTTTTATCAAGGAATTACTCATCAAAAAAGGATCAAAGGAAGCGGCGAAGGAATTTTATCGAGCGGCGAATGGGCGGGAACGAGAGACAATTATATCTTTTTTACTTCGAAATACGCGGAAAAGAGGAATAATTTTGCATTTGAAATCGTCGGCCTTTTCAATTGTGCAGAGACCATTGTTTCCTCGACACACTCGAATAAAGCACAATAATTCCTCCGGGAACTGAAATGCAGAGCAAAAAGCGTCTGTGGGTTTCGCATTTGAAATGCCATTTCAAATGTCACGTCGTTTGCCATTTCGAGGTGACTGCGAAACCTTTACAATTCTCACTTCGAGGAGTTGAAATCATCAACCGTCCCGAGAACATCTGTGCAAAACTTCAAGCTCGACAAATTTCTTGAAACCTGAATATGGTACAAAGGATGCACTCGGTGTTTAAAAGTGCGTGTCATTCGCAGCCACACGTTGCTTGTTCTCGTCCCGACAATTAAGCCCGGTGCTTGGGCGTAGTTCCAAAATGTCACGCACCCCGGCATCTTCCGCCGTTTTGCGGCTCCGTGGAGACTGCTTGCTTTGTGCACCGGCCATGGAAACCATGGAAAAACGCATGCAGAAGGAAAAAAACGAGCGAGCATAAAAGAGCAAAAGACGCGACGAGGAGATAAAAACGTCAAATCGTGCTACCGAGATTGACTTGGCACGTTTTGTGACAAAGGTATAAAAAAATAAATATAAAAATAAAATCTTGCACAATATTTTTCTTTCTTCCTCGTGAAATAAAATCGCAGACCGTGACCAAAGCCGTTTGTTTTGAATAAAAATAATTTTACAATGAGGAAAAACTCATTTGTAAAAAAAATCAAAACTTTTGTACATATTTTAAGAATTTCTGATTGGAATTTAAAATTTTTGTCCCGATTCAAATTAATCTCTTCTCCCTTTAGTCCTCATTCTGCATGCAGAGCCACTACTTTAGCGCTTTGGGAGGAAATATCAAGTTACGTCAGACATGGCGAGCACCTGCTCGCAGGTGTGTTGTTGGTTCCCTAAGCGAATCTAAAAACGAGTCATATAATCCTTCGGAACTCAACAATTGAAAGTATTATGAGAATTATTTCGTTGCGAAAATTGATGGATATCACGGTCAAATACCCGAAAAATATGCGCCGTGTAATTCAATTTTTAATGCGCTTCAACGGCAGAGACTGGAGATGGAGTGCGTCAGAGAGGCGTCGCGGTCACACTTGGCGAGTTCTAAACCAACATACCCGCAGATAATAATGAGAACTGTAAACGGTGAAAAGATATTTTATGCTCGCACACAGAAGGCGTGAGCCTGAAGCCCATTCTGAGCACGCAGGTATAGATCAAATCATTACCAAAAACATATAATTTTTACTTTTCTTCATGCAGAAAATATAGAAATCCTTTAATGAGTCTCATCAGTGAAAATTTAAATATATGTGATTTTTGTGGCAATTTATTTCTGATTGTGAGAAATGTAACATTATTTTTAGAAATTGAAACATGATTAATCTAACAAACTGAATTTTCCAAAAATTATATTAAAATAGCTTTTATGAGAAATTTCTAAATTGTAAGATAAATTTTTGCTCAAAAACTTCCTTCAAATTTAAATTTAAGGAAATTTCATCTTATCAACTTTGTTTAAGCCCAATTAGGTTTGAAAAGAAAAATTTTAGGATATTCTTTATAAAATTAACATCGAACTTAAGGAAAACGTTTTAGGCATAAAACATTTTGCAGTAATGATGATAAAACTCTTTTATTAAAATTGCGATTCAGTTTCCAATTTTATTTCCTTGTTGATGAGAATCTTGTTAACTCTCAGACAAATTGCAAGTCATGGTATATGTAAATTTTAATGATGAATTGCTCTTCAAGTACTGACGAAATTAAGAGATCAAAATATTTCAACGTCACTTTTTTGTATGTACAAATTACATACCAGTGCGGCCAGATTATTATTGTATTTTCACCGCGCAGATCCCGTTTGGGTATCGCCTCGGAGAAGTGCACATTAAGATGCAGTTTGAGAGGAAGGAACATATATAAATAAATATATCATCGCCGCGAGTACCGTTAGCGGTAATGGCAACACATATGCTCGGCTTGAACAAAAACGAAAAATTTCAAGTTATTTCCAGTCGGTAAGTGTCAAACTCGGCGGGAATCCCTTTTTTGCGCGAATTATTGTCAGCTGTTACTTTTTGCGCGCAGCTGCGCTCAAATTAAAAGAGGACTTTTAATATATTTTCCCCTTTGCATTTATTGCTGTACAATTTAATACCAATTTATTTGATGATTGCGAGTTACGGAGCGCTTGATTGCAGGAATGCCGCCGCGGCCGATTGAATCTCTTTCTTGCTTTTTTTGTTTTTCTCAGTCGGCGGTGAAACGGTTCCTGTGCAATTCCAAGTCATGTATATAAAAATTAAATCGCCGCCGCGCCTCCCGGAGTCCAATTAGGGCCAATTATATTGGTCGTTCTCCGATCGATCGTCCTTTCCTCGACGCGCTTAATAATTACGAAAAATTGAAATGTCGGTGCGCTTTGGTGTCGTTTGTCTCAATTAATTGGCTCTGCGGTAACAGAGGAGGAAGTGACAATTACTCCTAATTGATTTTAATTAAACACTGAAATTTCCTTGTGCAATAGAATCGATTATTTCTATTCACGAAATGAAAATTTGACCCAAATAAAAATAAAAGGCTAAAATTTTACATAATGAAATA